GATGAAAATTTATCTATCCAAAGAACTTAATCTTATAAATACAATATAGATTGATAGTTAAATATATTACGAGAGAATAGTCATTAATTTCTGTTCTTGACCTTTTCATAATAACTTAGTCGGCTTTTATCCGTAAGCTCGTCTTATTTTAATGTAGTTACTACTCTATTATTATACAAAATGTCATCAATTTGTCTTAACAATGATTTGATAATGTGTAAAAATATACACTAAGATCAATGTTAATTTCAAGGCTCTTTTTTAATACTATATATAATTAATAGAACAACGTTTGGATCATGTTAAAAATTAAAAAGGTGAATTAGAAGTAAAACGAAGTGAATTAGATAAAGAAATTGATGCAATAGAAGTTTATCTTGTTCATCTTGAAAAATCTCTTCAATCACTTCAAGATAATTTACATATAACTCTCGTTAGAGAAAAACGTTATGATATTGATTTAGTTTATGATGATGTTTCAAAAGATTTAGTTATGGAAATATCAGCTATTCAAGGTGCAATTTCTTTATTAACACGTACTATCGAATAGACTAAGGAGCAACTTAGGTAATGTGTATTGATTTCTAACTTAAGGTTATTTATAGAACAGCTTGAAGCAAGTGATGATAAAAATGTCACATATTGTTATCAGAGTTATTACGTTTTTGACATTTGATTTATAGAAAATATCTTTTTTTTTTTCTTTTTCTTCTTCATTGTTTCATTATTATCCAAACAAACACACATGCATACAGAGAGAGAGAGAGAGCGAGAGAGAAAAAAAAAGAGAGAGAGATTCATTTATGTAAAAATGAATTTTAACGTTTTTTTCGTTTAATTTTTTGTCGACGTTCACGTAAAATTTCAGTTACTTCTTCGACACTTGGTTTTGGTTTTGTTAGGGAAGTTTTTCGTACAGATTCTATTTGTTGTAAAACCGAAGTAGTCGAAGAGGAATAATTTTCATTTGAAGATCGTCGACGAGTTGGAGTTGGTGGTACAAGTATTTTTGGAGCATTACGAAGAGGATCATCTGTTGTTGTTGGTGGTAAACTAGGAAGAAGCATGTTACTAGTAGGTTGAGTTACTAATGAACTCATTGCTCCACCTAATGTACTAGCCATTTTTGGATCAGACATAACGGGTAGAAAAAGTAATTTTCCTAGACTTAATAAACCTTGATCGGGACCAAGTGTTGACATCATTTTAGCAAGTCCATCAAGAACAACTGGTTGCGATGCTTTTCTTTCATATGAATAAAATAATTCTTCAATAACATGTGTTACAACAAAATCTGATGTATTGGTTTCTAATAGACGAAGTACGAATATTCCATCACATTTTAGATAATTACGAGCAAAATCTAAATGTGCATCATCACGATATAATAATGATTCTTCAGTTAATGCTGGTGGAGACTGTTGATCTTGAGAGGGTTCATCAGAATTTGTTATCGATTTTCGTAAATGTCTTATTAAGATTAATTTTAATCGAGTTGTAACATATTTTATTCGAACCGATCGTATAAATGAATATGACCATGTTAATAATGAAATTATATTTAGAATAACAATCATAGTATACCAAAAAAATAGAAATGTAAACAATTGTTCAAATAATAGATTATTCGGTAATACACATTCAACTGTATATCGATGTGAATTGTATAAATGATTAGGTTCACGTACTCTATATAAACAAACGAAAATGAACTTAAAATAAGTTAATTTGAAAAAAAAAAGATTTTTTTTCATTAGAAACTTACTCAAAATCGCATAATGTTACTTTAGGAAAATATTTTGAAAGTCCACCTTGTGCTCTATACGATTGATTGATAGATTGATTTTGTATTAATAAAATTAATTTTTGTATTAATTCTAATCCATAACGATAATATTTTATTCCAAGCATTTCATTAAATAATGCTAATTGTCCAATTGAATTAACAACATAAAGAATTTTAGTTAAAATATAGACCATCATAAAATAATTTCCTTGAAATTTTCCATACATACAACAAAAAACTGCTTGAATTCGTTTAAGTATACTTATATTACGATTTTCTCTACCACGTCTTGGATCATCAATAAATTCATCAATTGAAGCAATAATATAATTCATTATTTTACGTCTTTTATCCATTCTATCGATTGATTTATAACTTTTACCAGCTTCAATTATATCTTTTAAATTTAAACCACTTCGAGTCATTAAAGATTGCCAAATAAGATTCGGAATGTAGAAAAGAATACTATAAGTATTAATAAAACAAGAAAAATAATTGATTTCTCATTAAAAATTTTATTTACCTGAGAAAGCAAAGAATAAATGGTATCCATTGATAATATAATAATTGTAAACTTTGTCGTTCTATACGTGTACCTGGGATTTTTTGTGTTTGATTAACATAATAAGTATTCGTAATGTAACATATATGATTGGTATAATCTTCGTAACCAGATGTAAACATAGCTGGTACCCAACCTAATATCAAAAAAAAAGGAAAAAAAATTAACTTTAACAAATGATAAATCAATAATATTACATTGGATTTGTTTTGAACTAAACTGTCGATTTGTAACAATAGCTGAGAAAACATTAAGTAAAATAACTGTATAACGATAATTTAAACGATCAACAAAATCATCTGGATCAGCTTGAGGCGCTTGGTTTTGACCGGCAAGACTCGGAATGCCTTTCAATAAAAGAAACGCCATACGTCAACGTAATCGAACGATTCAACGTCATGATTCCGTTAGCACGTTAAAACGTGTTCTCGCTCTTGCTGAACATAAACCACTTTCACCAATTCGTTTTGTTGATAAATCTAGAAGGAAGATGTAGTAATAATAGTAAGAAGAAGGTGATAGTAATTTCTTTCAGTTGATTGAAATAAAAGAGAGAGAGAGGGAGAGGGAGGGAAAGAAAAAAAATGAGAACAAATAAGAGAAAGAGAAGAAGAGAGTGAGAAAACGTTTGTATATATATGTTAGAGCGATAATCATCATAAGACTGATGCTGCTACTCGCATCATCAGGATCTGCTAATATAAAGCTGGTCGACGGGCTCTTTTTTTTCATTTATCACAAACAAACGAGTAAATACGCCTCTATAATTGTCGACAATTGTTTGATGACAATTATAATAGAGGAAAAAAAGAATTAGATTTTGTATATATATTTAGAGAACCGACAAACGAGAAAAAAAAGCAAAATCTAAAGATTACAAGAATCAGTGGTAACAGCTTGTCTTAGAAAAGAAGACGATAGAGAGAGAAAGAGAGAGAGTAAGAGAGAGAAAATGATGATGATATCATCTTTTTTTCCAAATAGATGTAACTCGATGCAATATGCTTCTGATCTTTCATCATACTAATATCTGCATATAACACATATATATATATATATATATATATGTATGTATATGCAGATAGATAGTCTAGGGATTTCCATAATATAAGATCATTAGTGACTGTATATGTATATGATTGTGTGGTGCAACGTGTCGATTAGAACTATTTTATTCACACAAATATGTGTCGACTGACATGCATATACACATAAGCACGTTTACTCTCTCCCAGTGCAAACTGATATGATGATGACATTTCTCATGGGTATGGACAAATGTGGGGTTTTTGTTCATCGACCCATTTAAAATATACAACTGTTGATCAGCATGCCTCATATATATATATTTGTTATAAGATAATCATAGTAACATTGGAAGAACAACAAGAAAGCGAGAGAAAAAAAATGAAGAAACAAATCTTACCCCAAAAACTTACATATATATATATAGTCGACAATGGATATAATACAATTAGCTTTTAAAACCATTCTATTCTAACAGATAATTAATCTATATTATTTGTCCATTCATATATTTTTTACTTATAGGCACTATTCTTGTTATGTATATATATGTTAGCATGCCCTAATTCTTTTTCCATCAGTATCTCATTCTCTATGATATTGTTGTTGCTGTTATTATTTTATAGTAGAGTATCTAACTGCTTAGAGACATCGCATTCTCGCTGAGTTAAGAAAGCATAACATGCTAAGTAGCAATCATAGTTACAGTTCTATGCTGTCATTGTATCATGCAAATATACGCAAAGTAGATTGGCAGTACTTAAACATGTTCTTACAGATACTATACTGCAAATTGTTATACTCTTACATATAGTTTCTAACTGACATATACGAATTTGTTTGACACTATCTTTAAAAAAATGATAAGACAAATAAGAAAATATATTAAAAAAAAGAAAGAAAGGAACTGACGGTGTATAATTTTATGTGTTTCGAATTAAGCTTGAAAATCAGCTACTATTTGATATATCTACCATCATTATTATTAATAGCAATAACAAAATCTAATCGAATAAGAGAGAAACGACTAAGAATGTCATCGACAACTGGCAATGAGCAGGTGACGCATGATTTTCTTGCGTCTTTTTTTTTCAGTTTGCCGTTTTTCTTCTTCTTCTCCTTCTCTTCTTTCTTCTTTACAATCTTTTCTATCTAAGTGTCGATTAGAATTATGTCCGTATGTGTTGGAAGTCGTTCGCATGACTTCCTGTTTCTCATTCATTCGTCCATCATTCTTTGTATATGTGTTCGGCATGCACTGATCGAATCCGGCGCGACGCCTTTCTTCATCTTTTTTTTTCGGGGAAATTGAATAGAGACATAATTATGTTCTATTCTATTTCTATAGGCTGATGCGCCAATCTCGCTATCTGCTCGATCGAGATCTTAAAGACAAATTTGCTGCACAATCAATTGATGAACATGTTATTGATTTAAGTTCAACAAATCCTTCACTTTATCTTAAGGAAGGTGTTACATGTATTGAACATCGGTATGTTACAATTCATTTTGAAGCTTATGACATGGAAAAAGTAATTAAAATACTCTTAGACAAGAAAACAAGAATAAAAAATCTATAAAAAAGAAATTATTTCTCCTATGATTAAGACAAAATGAAATTTTTAGTTGACAATCTACAGATCGACGGAGATGGAAAAAAACGCCCATGGGTGTGTAACATGTTTGTATTAAACCAAGTAAAACATTATAAAACTATATATAGATAGATGAGAATAATTAACTATATGACTTTAGATGAAATATAATCTTTGAATATAAGTTCTTTTCTCTATTTACAACGGAAAAAATAATAATAATAATACGTTTAAAAGATTATTATTTTAATTAGCTTGGTTTCTGAACCGTTTTAGGAAGAATATACAGATGAAAATATAAAAAATGCTGAAAAACAAAGACTTAATGCTGTTCAATTACGTAATATAATTGATGGTATATTAAACAAGTTATTGAGCGTAGAAGAAGATCATTTGATCGACGTATTTATGAATCGAAAGAAGCAAAACAAAAACTCGAAGATCAATTACGTGATGTAAGCATGTTGATATTTAGTGTAAAAAGATTATTTAATACCGTCTCTCTCTTTGTTTTTCATCACTTAGGTTAATTTATTGATTGATCAGCTTGAAGAAAGTATCAAAAATACCGAAAAAGCTATACGTGATAAAGAACAATACTTAAAATTAGCTCATACACGTCTTGACATTCGTCATAAACGGTCTAATATTGAACTTGTTTATGATCCACTACAAAAACTTCAAGAACGGTATGATCAAAAGAAAACTGCACTTACCATATGAATATTTCTGATTTTGTTTGAATATATAAATATACATAATAGAAAAGAAGTCAGGTAGAAGTCTTTCATCATGACTAAGCAAAAAAATGTCAGTAGCAGAAATGAAGCCATGTCTTTATATATATATATAGTTTTGACGATCTCAATCTGGTGAGCACATTGTTTCAATTTACTTACTACATTATCATTAGTCTTCGTTGACTGGTTTGACATATTATTAGTTCTATTTATTTATTTTAGGCTGGATGAATCGCATGTTCGTTTACGCAATTTAGAGCATGATAAATTAATATTAGAAAAAGATATTGAAACGAAAACAAATATAATATTTGTTGATGAAGTTGAATATCATGAAGGCTTAAGAAAATCAATTTTAATTGAAGATTGGTAAACAAAAAACAACAAACTAATCTTGTATTTTATTTTGTTAATTTTTTACAATAAAAAAAAACTTCTATTTCTCTAATAACTGCTGTTTTTTATTACAATAAATATTGTAAAGTGTTTTAGATTGATTGATATTTGCATTAAGACTTATTACAGATTTATTTGAAATAATTGGTCGTAGAATATCTTTAAATGTAGATAATCGATGTTTATTCTGAATGTGATCAGATAATGAAGTAGATACTCGTTTATTTGAAGTTTTTTGAGATAATGAATTTTTCCGTTTATTTGAAGATAGTTTGTTATTAAGACAAATATCTTTCCGATGTTTATAATGACTTTTCGAAGACATAAATGGTTTGATAATAATTGTCATTGGCGAAGATGATTTATGTGATTGATTGCTGTTGATCAAAGTCGAATCTATCGAGGAGTTTATTGATGACATTATACGAGTAATCAAATCTTTAATATATATATATATAGAAAGACTTATTTGAACTGTTGAAAATGATTTTTTTTATTAATCTAATTAACCTACATGTTTCTGTATTATTATTATTATTCATTTGTTTATTGAATCGATCATGTTTCGAATTCTTTCTTTTTGAAAACATAATCTTATGTAAAGATTTATTTTGATTAAAATATTTATCTTCAAATAATTTTCTTATTGATTGAACTGAACAAGAAGAAAAATCTTTTTCATCTACTTGACAATGTTTATTATTATTTGAATGATATTTAAATAAATATGATTGAGAATGACTCTGATAACATGAACAATATTTATTTTTAATATTGTTTATTAATTTTAAAGGTATGAATAATTGATGATTATGATCAATTGGAAATATTGCTTTACCGTCAAGTAAAAAACAGTGTTGAGTCATTGGGTTTATTTTAAAATGCAGCGAAAAAAAATATTATAACAAAATGTAAAAATACGCGGTAGAATTCAACTAACTTAAAATCATAGATTTTTTCTTTACAATCGTTTTTTTGTTTTACTAAAATACATTGTATTGTTATATAAATAGAGTTAAAATGACGTTTTCTTTTTAAAACACACAAATAGAGTTATGAATTATTTATTCAACGAGAACAAAGTCATTTTATAGAATCAAGGCTAAACTCAATAGAATGTTCTATTTGGAAAAATACATTAATCAAAATGCTTGTTTTGACAGACGTATCTGTCTGATGTTAATCTATATTATCAATGGTGTGTTTTTTTGATAACGCTTTAATTTATTGAATGACCGACTCACCCTTTAGGCATTGACATCTAAAAATAACAAATTTTTATCGTAGAATAATGTTAATGAACGGAAAAAGGAAATGTTACAATGTACGACATGAGTTTTAAGATAAAACAACTAAAAATGTATCGAGGATATTTAAACGATTGTAATAGAGATTCTAGATTTTATATCATTATGAAGATACTATATCAACAAAACAGACATGTTTATAGTATATCTGGTTTATAGATTATAAATATGCAGAAGTGATAATAATACAGATGAAAAAATCGAAGTTTTCTTGTCATTTTCATATACAAAAAAAATTGCTTGATACAGAAAAGAAAATAATGATACTATTTCATACAAACGTTTTAATGCGTTTACCAGTGTAGAAGACTTTAATATCTGATTTTTTCAATATAATAAGATTATGTCTTGCTTCTTAATATATGATTTAATTATAATATTAAATAGTCTACATTAAAAACAGATTAATCTAATACAATGGTAGTCGAATAAATTTATACAAGAATTCCAAAATGAAACAATAAAATTGATGATAAAGTATGAAAATATTAGAAACTCATGCTTTATTTGTTAAGTAACAAAATAATGCAAATATATCTACTGATTATTTTTGAATTTAATCAAATATATATATGTCAGGGATAGTATAAAACATGACTTCTCAATCAAGATAAATATTTGAAAATACATTATTATTATTCCAAGATGAATCATGACTTCTACATATTAAATCAATTTCTTTTGAACAAGTATATAGGATTAATTTATATCTATTAATTATTTGTAGAAATACATTAAAATTTATATAATTTAATATTTGTTTCAAAACTTTTCTGAAGGACATTCGATAGATTATAGATAATATTAGATCATACAAATTTGTCAATAAAATTTATCAATGATTGACATCTTAATATAATTATTGATGCACTCTACCATACATGTCAATAATCATCTCAGCTTTCTCTATCTAATAAAACAATGATTCTATTTATAGTTCATCTGATGTTTAATGTGTTAAAAGAAAATAATATTTTTTTTTAAAGGAAAAATAATACGATCTTTAAACGACATAATAGTTCTTCATATTCATCTTGTTCTGATACATTAAAATTAATTGTATTTTGATGAAATTCTAATTGATAATGGCATACTATGACCTGGAATGTTATTTCCTAGTCTTTGTCTATTTTTATCAATTTATGGAGGAAAAAAATAGAAACGAAAGAAAAAAATATGAATTTGACCTAGTTCTATAACTTACTTATTTCAAAACGGACATATTAATCTTTAGATGATTATTGAGTATAATACATCAAAATACTCATCATGGTAAATTTCCCACTATAATATGTGCAATGATAACTATGCAATAAATATGTTAAATACATACATGAATGTATAATCACGTACTAGTCTGTAAAATGAAAGAAAAATGTTTTTTTGCATTCTTTCGTACAATTAACGGATAAAAAATAAGTGAAGACGGAATTGAATTTTAAAACGTCAATTCAATTTATTATCATTGAAATACAATTAATAAAAAGAAAAACAACAAAACAAAAAAAACGATCCATTACTGGACATTCTCTGTACATTGCTACAATAAAATGTAAACGTTTGAATAAAACATTAATGAATATAACAAAAATATTTGAAAAAAAGAAAAAAAAAAACACATTTTTTCACCGGCGTTTAGTAATCTTACTAAATAATCCAAATTTTGGTCGCATTATAATACGAACATCCATTGCTATTTTTTGATTTTTAGGTTCAAGTTCAAAATTACAACGTTGTACGAACATAGCTAATATGACTTTAGCTTCAATTAAAGCAAAATTTTGACCAATACAACTACGTGGTCCTGAAGCAAATGGTAAATAACAATATGGATGAGCTAATTTTGGTTTAAGACCTGTTTCTGGATCACGCATCCATCTAGTATAATCAAATTCAAGTGGCCGAGGCCAATATTTTTCTTCACGATGTATTAAATAACTATTAATTAAAATAGTTGCATCAGCAGGAATATTTAATTGATAATTTTTACTTTTAATCGTATGATCTTGTATACATTGACGAACAAAAAATGGTATTGGTGGATATAAACGTAATGTTTCATGTATAATAGATTCACAAATATTTAATTCATTCAATTTTTCATATGTTGGAATCATACCATTTGGTAATACTCGATCAACTTCATTTTGACACGCATTTAATATAGATGGATTCGTCATTAAAACATACATAATCCATACCATAAGATCACCTGTTGATTGATGTCCAGCAAGAACAAAAGCCATAGCTTCTTGTCTTATTTCTTCATCTGTAAAATGTTCACCATGACTATCGACTGCTTTTAAAAGTAAATCAAGTATATCAGCATTTTGACAGAGATTTTTTGATCGTCCTTGTTTTCTATCATTAATTATTTGTTCAACAAAATTTAAAGCTTTCTCACAACCTTTATCAATAATATCTTTACCCCAAAATGGTAATCGAGAAAAAAAAGGTATTTGATCAATTAATAATAATGAACGATTAACAATTGCATCTAATGCTGCAATAAAAGCTTCAGAAACAATTTCTCTTGCATTAACCATTGTTTCAAAATTTCCACCAAATGCACTCGATGCAATAATTGTTAATGTAAGAAAGCTAAGTTCTTTTTCTAAATTAATTGTTTTTCCACATGATTCAAATAATTTATCAATCATTTTTGTTGTTTCATCGGTCATATTTGATACCATTGAACGAAGATTTTCAAAATGAAAACCAGGATTAAGCATTCGTCTTGCTCGTGCATGTTCATATCCATTACTAATTAAAAGATTACGTAAACCAATGAGAGGTTTTAAACGAGAACTAAGATCTCTTGGTTTTTGATAATATGGTGCATGTGCTCGACCAAGTATATCGGCTATTAAATCAGCATCTTGTACAACAAGACGTGGATATGAACCAAGACCAAACATAAAAATTAATCCATGTTTTTTACAAAGTTCTTCATGAAAATTCATTATTCGATTTTGTTTATTATATTTATACAATCGTGGTACTTGACCAAGTAACGGTACAAAAGGTTCGCATGGTATACCTTGAGCTCGTAAAACATCATAGATACGTTTGCCAGGACGAATTAATTTCCAATATATAATAAATAATAAAATAAAAGTAAGTGTAAAAGTTGTATAAAGACACTGAAGAAACATCAAACCGTTTGAAATAAATACGATACTTTAAATGCTTTGCACACGTCTGTAAAGATATATATATATATATATAAATGTTTTTTCCTTTTTTTACGAGAGAAAGAAAAGAAAAAATTATTTTGTTTACCCACCGTAGCCGTCTATAACGTACGTCCTTGATTTTCGTTGATATATATCAATATACTAGAAGTCGAACAAGTTCTTCTTCAAAAAATATCTATTTTCAATTGATAATAATTTGTCTATAGGAATAATAAAAGTACGAAATTTTGAAATTGAAAATATTTTCTCTTTTTTTATTTTAATGATTTTTTTCATAGAATCCTTATCGAAACGAAAAAAAGCAATTATAATATCAATAAGACCACGACATATATCTATTTGACATTTTCAGATCGAATGTAAAAGTACATAACCATAAATTTAATCCTATTGCTTAATATTTATTTGACTATTTAGTCAGAAGTATTTATTTCTTCCTTTCCTGTTTTATTCTTATAACACAATGACCTATTTTTTTAAGTACATTACTCAAAGATTTTTTAATAGTTCATAATTATTTATAGAATTTTAGATAATGTATTTCTATTATTAAAAATTTTTCTTCTGTAACAGACATTCTTAATAGCTAAATAAATATTAAAAGTAGCATCATTTTTAAGATTATCAAAGATTTATTTTGCCCAGACACATAATTCTTTTTTTTTTGTTTTGAAAGAAAAAACTTTAATTATTAAATATGAATGAAGAATCGCTTCAATGAACTATATTATATAAAAAAAGGATAAAATATGAGTTGTATGTTGACATACTGCTGTGCATCTTCATCATCTTGGAAAATAGTTAATATATGTAATTAAATAGAAAAAAAAAATTTCAGAAACTAAAGAGAAATATTAAAAATAGATGATAAATGTCATCAAATTTGATTGGAATATTTCATATATTATACTTCATATAAAATTAGTTCAGACAGGAAATGATTTCAAAAGTACAATTATCATTTAAAAAAAAAGATTTTTCGAAATATAGTTAATTATTATAATCAATACGTTAGCCATAGTTTGATTTGACATTATTAATACTGTGTTTTCCTGATTTAAAGATAAATATCATTGTGTAATATAATCATGCAGTGGATGTTTCTATTTTTAGCTTTGTTTGTTAGCAAACGAACGCTAATCATAGACTTTATACTGACTAGGTGAAAGAGTAGATCAACTCCCCGATCGGTATTTTTTATTATTAGCAATTATATACCTATTCTATAACCTTGTAAATATTTTTTTGATCAGTTTTTTTTCGTCGCAATACAGTAGGAAGTTATATATATATATTCATATTATCGAGTAAAATATTTTTCTAGACAGTCGTAAAATAAAATATGCACTTAATTTACTGGTTCTTTTGAACTGAAAAGTAATTAAAAGAATAAATAATTACTATTAAATAGACAAAATCTAGTTATATACTGTAAACATGTTCTTCAAGAGTATTGTCTACCGAATGAGTAACAACATTGTTAAGAGTACATTTCAAATGGTATAAAAGTTTAACCAATCCGATCCTATTGTGATATAATAAATATGAGTAACATTTTTATTTTTTGATACAGAACAAATCAAAACTAAAATTAAATTTAACAATAGATTAACTATAATCATTCATTTCAATGAAAACATAAAGTTGATATATGTCATAGTTAATCCATAAAACTATTATTAAATATAATAAGATTGGCAACTCGCTTTTATTAACATCGTCATAAACAGGATACAACATAGAGAGAGAGATGCATTTACTTTATTATTGCATGTTTATGAGTTACTCTTCAACATGTCTATCAATCAGGCATTTAATTTGTTATTTATTTTTTACTAAATAAATGTTTTCAAGCATAAAAATCTATTTTTCAATAAATTAGATATCAAACAAAGCGGAAAACAGTCATACAAATAAGAAAAAAAAATCAAAACACTATAAGAAGTTTTGAAAATAGATTCATATATTCTTTTGAATAAACATAATAGATAAAATGTTTATATTTTATATTTTAAATAATATCACAAAAAAGAAGTTAAATATTCTTTTTCGGAATGTAAAAATCAAAAAACGATAATTTAATTAGATTGAAATGGTTTATTGACTAAGTCAACTTGTTCTGAGTTCAATAAATTTGATAATTGTTGTTGATCAATAATGGAATTTTTTGGTATTGCATTTGAACTTGTTCTTGGTCTTTGAATAAAATTAGTTATATTTTCTATCATAAGATTTCGTCGTCGTATACAACGTTTACGAGTTAATCTGGCTAACTGAAAACTTGTTTCACGAAATTTTTCTCCAAATAAATAGTAAAAAAAGAGATTTGCAGATGCATTGATTGTTTGCAAAAAATTAACTGTAGTATTAAATAAATGTCGAGAACGACAACTTCTTGAAAAAAATTGCTCAGTAGAGTTTGCTATTTTTGCGCGATTATTATCATATGATGTCATTGATAATTTTGTTTCAAATATATGATTAATTAATACTGGAAAACGACAAATAAAAAATAATAAAACAACACCAATTAACATTAATGTTATACCACGTTCATGTTGTTCATGATTATGTGTTGATAATGGTGATGTTAAATGTAAATGTTGTCGACGATTCAAATAAAATTTATGTAATAATTTTACTGTAAAGAAATTTATAAATATAAGTAAAAGAAATGGAATTGCGTATACAACAGGAATGTAAAGCCATATATGAATTATTCGACGAAATAATTCATTTTCACCCACTGATGTTACTATATTAAAAATGAATTAATCAATAAAAGAAAAATAACAAAAAGAAATATTAATTTACATTTTAATTGAACACGATTATGTTCATTGAGTTGGACTTTATATTTAAACCAATGGGGTAAAATAAATAAAATTGAAAATATTGTTATTACAGTGATAACACGAAGAGAATTTCGTACATTACAAATTGTCTCAGCTTGTAAACCATATGATAAATAAAGAAAACGATCAAATGATACAGCAACAGTATAATAAATTGAACATAATTGTAATGTATTCATCAATGGAATTACATACGGAGAAAATCTGCAAAAGAAAAACAACGAAAAAGAATTAAAATATAATTTTAAAACAAATCATGATTTTTCATTTACTTTAGTATAAAATCATCATATTCATGAAAATCATTTTCATGTGAACTTGCTTGAAATTTAGGGATAACCATTGCAAATCGCATGGAATTCACTGTTAAGTAAAGAATTAGCCAAACAAGATTGACAATCGAAAGGGCAAGAAGATATATGTTAGTTGAAAGATAACGCATACGATGATTGCCTAATATCAATATAGAAAGACCATTACTAAATATGCCAATAAGTACAATAATACACGATATCCATCCACCCAAAATATATTGAACAAGAAGTACATGTTGTTCATCAGAATGACTGCAAGCATAATTACTTTGACCACTATTATTCGCCATATTGTTTGATTTGAATTAACTAATGGAGTAACAATAAATAATAAATAATAAGAAGTTCAAAAAAGAAAATACGGCTAAAGTTTACTTAAGCTTTATTTTCTTTTATTCTAAATGCAAAAGAAGAAGAAAAAAAACTAGGAATAAAATATCAACTCTTATTTCTTCCGTCGTTCATTTTTTTTTTGTTTTTCTTAAGATAAAAACTGCTTTTGCATAAGTAATGTGATGTGGCGTAGGCGATTAGAAACTGAGGAAACAAAGAAAAGTTGATCTTTACTCATGTTTTTCCTATCGTCAAAAAGCAAGACAAGTTAGTAATCGAATCGATTTGATGTTTTTATGTTGGTTTGCTCTTCTATTACATGAGGAAACTATTACAGAATATGAAACAAAGAAGAAGAAGAAAAAGAAGAAGAAAAAAAAAGAAAGACTGACAACCTACTAAGATATAGAATCATATAATAGATTTCATTTATGATAATCGATCTCGTTCAGTTGGTTAATATATAAACATTATATGCGTCATTAGTTGAAACAAGACCAAATGAATTATACTCAAGAAAAAAAAATAGTAAAAAGAACTTATCACTCTTCAAAAAAAAAAGAAAAAGAAAGGGGAATCTCGTCGAGTTTCCTTAGTTAGAAAACAGCTGGATGTTTTCTAAAGTATATAATCTACTACATAGCGGTTATTGAGTCAACTGTGAGTAGCATTTGTACACTACTAATGACAAATTTTTTTCACGGTCATCATTATCATTTTGCTATGATTTGCTTTGCTCTTTATATTTTGCTATCTATCATCATATATCTTGCACGATTCTGAATATGTTCTGCTAGTGACATTTGCTAGTAAGATTGATTTATCTGTCTATCTGTTACAACTAACACATATTTCTATTTATTTCATGTAGATTGTATCTCGTCTAGGGTATACCTCTCTTATAACATCTACGAGTGATAAAAAAATTATAAAAAGGAAACAGATTGTCGGAAAAAGATTATAAATGAAATCTAGAAATTTCTAGGAAATATCCGTCATAAACATAAGCAAAAGAAAAAAAAAGAGAAAAAATATTCATTATTGACTTTTTTTTCCATCTGTTTCTATGTTCTCTTTCACTCTCTCTCTCTCCCTTTCTCTGTTTTTTGCTCTCTATGAATGATTTATTCGAGAAAAAAAAAAGAGGATCAGATAAAAAGAATAAACCATTCTAATCGTTTAGTTCTTTTTCTATTAGTCTAACTATTTTTTATATAAATAATTCTATATGCAAGAACATGCATAAACAATGAATATATTTCCTCAATTCAATGATGAATTCATTGACGATCTATATAAAATAAAAATAGAATACACAACTAATTCATTAGAGTAGATATAATAAACAAGTTTAAATATATCATAACAGCTTAAGCATATTAAACATAAATGTATATATATATCTATATTTATATCACGTTATTATAGTTTCAAAACAAGAACTCTTGTGTAATGTGAAGAATAAGGAAATAGTAATACAAAAGATATTTACTTTAAATTGGTCACGCAATGTATGAAAATGAGGAAAAAAAATGGAAAGATTAATAATCATCCTTCATAAAGGATTTTTAATAAGAAGATTATATAAACATTGTTTTTTGGAGCGAAAATAAATCCTTAACAACAAATATTAATTAATCTAAAAATAAAAAAAAATATAATATTTGAGTTTCTTTGCCTTAATATTAAATGTCTTCTCAAAATATTCGTTGATCAAACTTGATCATCTATTTTTTTTTCTCTATTCAAAAATATCTAAATAAAAATATGGAAGAAGAACATTCTTCAATGAATAATAATTCAAATGAATTTATTCATATGACATCATCATTAAATTCTCGTCGCTTACAAATTCGTCGTGGTATATTAAGACATACATCAACATATCGTTCGTCACCATATAATTCATCATTGTCTAATTTAAGACAACGACAAACTTCTCAAGCAATTAGTAATTTAATCACTAATATTGAAAATCCAATGAATATTGATACTTCAATCAATGATGATCAAGAAGAAATTGAAATAGTTGAAAATAATTTTCATGATCAAACTGATAATGAACATGAAAATAATCACCAGGATGTATTTACGAATGTTTCTAATATAACACCAGTTGATTTAACTGTTACCAATGGTAAATTTCTATTTGAATCTGATATAATTTTTTCATCAAATTTTATTTTTTTAAAGAAAATAATGATTTTGATCAAGAACAAGATCTATCCTATCAATCATTATCAACTGTTGATTTTGATCCAGATGATGATAATGAACAAAGATTTTATTATACATCAACATCAATACCAATCTATGATTATTCATCAACAACTGAACCATTAATTATTCAAAATCATCATAATATTGATACAATAGAACATCGATATTATGATGAATATTCACCATCAATCATTGATGATGATAATGATGATGATGAAGATTTAAGTATTGAAATAATATTAGAAAGTTCACAAAATAATTCTTTATCATCAATACCAATTTCAACATCACGACGAAGACGTTCAATTATTCCATCAAATATTCGAGGTTTACGTTCATCTGATATATTAAGTATTCCACAAAAAATTTATAGTTCACTTAAACAACAAATCAATGATAAACATCAACAAACAATATTAACAAATACACAATGTTATATTTGTTTAGAAGATTTTCAATCAATTGATTCAATTAAAATACTTAATTGTCAACATATTTTTCATACGTAAAGAGATTTCATGTTTTCTCAAATTAGTTTTTGAATATTTATTTTAGTCATTGTATTAATGAATGGTTACGTAATCATTCGAATTGTGCGTATTGTCGAACAGCAGTTCGTATTGATCTATTACGTTCATCATCAACAACAACAGGACAACGACGACGAATACGTCCAAGACGAAATAATCATTCTATATCAAGATCATCAACAAATGATTCAATTCAACAAATATCGAATGAATCTTCGATATTAGAATAATTATATTTTTTACCGATATTCTGTTTATTAAATTGAATAATACATTAGTATTCGAAATATCTGCATAGATTTTTTTCGATAAGAAATTAAATATTATATATTTTTGTTACATTCATATCTTTCTGTTAATTAACTATAGATAAATATTTATTCAATCTACAATATTCTGCATGAAGAATGGCGAAAAAACGTTTTTTTTTCTTTTTTCTAAATAAACTAATATTTCTCTACATTTTGTATTTAGTTAAATAAATGAAAATAAAATAAAATAGAGACAATGATATCACATGATGCACTTAAAACGGGAATTTATATAAATTAATCTTTTGATTTTTCACATGGCCAATCAGCTAAACATACAGATTCATTTGACTTATACAATCCATGTTGACGAATTACTTCAATTGCTCCATCAGGAACAATATATTTAACACTACAACCGTTTGCCAATTGTTTTCGTATATTTGTTGCTGATATATCATTAACAACCCAATCTTGTATAACTTCAATATTTTGTTTCCAAAGATCAGGCATACCTTCTTTAACATCTGGTGTTGTAGCACCACCTTTACCGGATTCTGGAGCACTTAAACGAGTTATACAAGCAACACCATATTTTGTCATTATATCATCAATATCTTGTGGTAACCAAACATCGGCTTTTAACATTGAACGTACAACATCAGCACCTGTATAAGAGAATAGAAAATAATCTATTATAAGAAAACAAAATCATATGAAATGTTTCGAAATTAACCTGATAAATAACGTAGTTGAGTATTTTCACCATATTTCTGTTTAACAATTTCTTGATGATGATCAAGTGCTAGTTTTGTTCGAGTCCATGTTGGTTGTTCTGCTTCCCAACTGTCAACACGACGCCATTTATCACCTTTTAAAGCTGCTTGAAGCATTTCAATACGATAATTTGCTTTAACTAAACCTGCTTTACCATAAGAATCACTTACTGGAGATACGATTCCTACATAAATTGATTATTAAAATATGTTTTTAGTTTAGAGAATGTTATACAAAAACCTTCAAGAACTTGAATTGAACGATTATGATAAAAATCACGAGCTAATTCAAGCATATGTAAATGAGCAATTGTTACTGGATTAAAAGAACCAGTTAAAAGTATTACAATGCGTTTAATCGGAGGTGAAACTAAAAGACAAAAGAAAATCGTTTGTGAAATATTTTTCTCGACTATTGATTTTTACTAAAATTTATTCTATTCCAATATTACAAAATAACAAAAAAAATGTTCTTTTCTTTTTCTTATGATTGATTTCAGTTGTCACAGGTAACGTTCATAGTAAGCAAAAGATATTCATAAAGATGAGAATAGTATATGGTACATATGTATATGACCTCTCGACGAAAATATCTACACTCATTATACTCTTCATATATGGCCTGACACATTTTGAGTAGACACATACGAAAGTGAGAAGAAAAAGAATTCAACTAGGCTTCTTTTTACATCATTTCATATCACTTTTTTTTCATTTATATATACTACACTCAATATTAAAAAGAAATGGATAAGTTAAAATTCATTCTATTCGGAATATTTTTTATTATATTACCTAATGAACGAGAAATAAATGCAGGTAAGAATAATTAATAAAAATATACTTACATTTATCTCGTGGTATTTGACATTGTTCTTGATCAAACGGTGCAGATTCATGCTGTCTAGCTTCAACTGCTTTCTCTGCATCATGTAAAGTTTCATCAGACTTTGTTGAGGCCATCTGAAAAGAAAATAGAAATACTTCTTTTTTTGTGTCGATCGCGTCGTATTTTATAGTCTGAGAATGGAGAAAGAAAGTAAGAAGAAAGAGAAAAAAATCCTGATGATTTTTCGCAGAATTCTATTGTTGGAATATATTTATGACTCATAATGAATTTCATATAATTGCACAATAGAGATTTCGCATGTGGCAAGTGTTTCTGATAATAACATCAAGGATTCTTTATTTATATTTTAGTGCAAGAACTTTATGGCCAATCATCAGGTCGTATAAGATCTCCAAGTATGATTGTCAATCCATTGAATTTAAAAGAACAATATAAATTCACACGTAATAAATCTCCATCATTTGCTCAAGCACGTCGTTTTCGTTCTGATCAATTAGCGCGTGATAATCGTGATCAAGGTCAACCATATTCACATCAATCTCAACTTTTCTCATCGAACTATCATTCATACAGTGGAATAAATCCAAATCTAGGTATGTCAAATCAAGAAGGATGTCGTTTAACAAACAATTATTGTGCACATGATTATCAATGTTGTTCAGGAAAATGTCGATGTGTTCGATGGTCTATAATGGGGAAAATGTCTTGTCATAAAAAATGTTTTTAAAATGAAAAGTTTTTTTATTCATATTTGTTAATCATTTCTAATAAAAAAATAGTTGATTAGTAAGGAATTTTTGCTTTATTCAATCGATTAACAAGCCAGAGGCTAGCAGAAATAAAATATGTATACAAGAAAATGAAAAAAAAAGGATTGATCAGTCATCTAATTGGTAGTTGATAGATTAGTTTCTCATGCCTGGTGCAGGAAGTTTTGGCAAACCAAATTCGTCAACCATGACACCGTCCTAAATAAAGAGTGAATAAACTAAAAATAAATAAACAAATGAATAAATACTTTAGTTGTTGAAGATGCATGACCACCATCAAGTGGTTGAACAGGAACACTAGGTGCGTGTAAGTCATTAAACATAGCACCAGAATCCATACCAAATTCTTCTTCAGCAAGACCAGCCAATTCTTTAAGAAATATTAAAAATGAATGAAAACAAAAATCGATTTTTTTTATGATATCATACCACTTTCAAGATCAGCATCAGTCATATACATATCTTGACCGATTGGTCTGCTAAACATATCATTCATCTCCTCTTGATCAAGAAGTTGATCATCAAGATCATCCATAAGGTTCTAAAATACACAGAATATTCAAATAAGATTTTATGTATTCAAGGTCAATACTCTTTAATTCGATAGTCACATTTAGTATTAATAATCTTATAGTGTAAAGAATAAAACTTATTCTATTTGTAATAAAAACAAAAGTCATTCTCATGGAAAGTACTTTTCAATCATCAACTCATTCTGCTATTTGATATATTATAAATATTTTAATTTAATTTTTCTATAGAACAAAAAAATGAATTCAAGTAAACTTACTTCAACTTTATCAGGTTTTAAGTCTTTATAACCTTTAACCAATTGTTTTTTAGCATCTTTTAATCCATTGAACTAAAATGAATATATTATTATTATTATTATTGTTAAAAGAATATTTGAGATTGTAATACAATTTCTTTTTGTGTTTGAATATTGCTAACAGCAAATGCAGTTGCACTAATATTACCTGCTTGTCCTTCTAATGTCTGACGTTGTCTTTCATACCTAGAAGAATTTAGGTATGAAATTTAATGAAAATAAAATATTTCTATGAATTGTTTACATTTTCTTTTTACTTAAAAGAGCCATAGCACGTGCTTTTTGACCAGCCTAAATTCAATCAGATGATTATCTTTTATTTTTTTATGAAAATAAAATTTACTTTTCTAGCAGGAGGTAATTTACTATATGCTTGTAATTCTAAATGGTAAATAAAAAGAAATGCGGAATAAAATATTGGTTCAATAAAAAAAAAAGGAGTTTAATAAACCTTGATCAATTGTTGCAATTTGTTTATTCAAAGTTTCTACACGTGCATCAAGCGTGGCTGACGTATCATTTAATGTTGTTTTTGGTACAGTGGTACCTTTGGATGCACCAAAAAGTCGATTCATTTTTAATAATAAACACAGAAAACTTTCGAAGTGAAAATAGAAATGAAAACTTCAATCTAAAAAACCGTGTTTATCAATGTAAGAAATGATTCATCGATAGGAAGGCATCACAAAAGTAAAGAAACATTTTGACTAATAAATGACGCTGGTAACGCAAAGAAAGTTGATATAGATTGTTTTTAATAGAAAAAGAAAATTTTCAAGTGTGATTATCATACTATGAGTCATGAATGGATTGTATTTTTATTTATCAATAGGAAAACAGTAATAATAGATGGCGCTAACTGATTTCAAAACAAAGTTGTCTTATTACGACGTTTAATATTCACAGACACTTCAACAAATTAATTTTAGAATTGAAATAAAATCCATAGTAATAATCAATCAAAACAAAATAAAACTGTGTTTTTCAAATTGATATTCACATCAGCATTACAGAGCAATAATTGCTAGACTTACGCAAAGAAAAAGTATATATAGCAAATATTGAGACTATATGAGATTTTTATCAATATACTGTGTAAGATATATGATCGTTAAATTCCAATTGAAATAAAGATGTATTGCTTTACTGTAAATGATATAGTTGTATTACAAATCAAAACAATTATTTATCGCTAATATGTAGCATAAAACATTTGAATTCATCTGATCAACATCATAAAAGAAGCAACAAATGTGATGTAAATTGAATCGATCAAAGTCGACATGACATTTTCCTATTTAATATTCCTATTAGAAACCAGACTAAATACGAATAAAATACTATCGTTACAAATTTCTTCCGTTAATTTGTGCAGATTGTTGTAGTCTAAATAATTGTGTCGCGTGCATTATGTCGGATAAAAGAAATGCAGCTACTTCCTGTTTCGATTGCTAAAAATAATAGACTACCCTATACTCATTATCATTCTCAAAACATTCATCTGATGTATTTTCTTTTTGCATTTAACCTCGACATCGAGTTATTAACTTTTCATTGCATTATATTGTTTGACAATTTTTAAATGTATGGAAAACTAAGAATATAAAAACAAAACATTTTTCGGAGATTTATAAATACGATGGATCAAATTATGTGTAAGGTATTATTTAAATAGTCCTTTGAGAATTATTGGTTAGCTTCATTAGATATCTAAATTAACTTTATTTTAACGACGGAAAATGTTTTTTTAAACTATAATTGTAGTTCTCTATGCTTGGAATGATTGATCTGAATAATAAAAAAAGATGTAGTGGATTAAATCATGTTCAGTATACCCATTAAACACTTGATTCTGTGCTCGATTATTTATCTTATTAATGCTTTATTTGCTGCTTTTACAATCGAGGAGATTAATAAATATATATATAGCTTTTCTCATTTTTATTTGTCCTTTATTTGTATGTTTTCTTCGGTTTTTTCTATAAAAACAATATAGCTATGTCTAGATAAATACTGCATTTTTATAGTTTTTGACAATATATAGTTGACTTCTTTATATACGCTAATATTAATATAGAAGGAGAAACTATTACTCGACATTTTTCTAGTATTTTAAATCCAAAACTCATGGGATCATATCAAACTGTTAATTCCGTATCTTTATCTATACTTATAAATATTATTATAAAATGTATTATCGAATCACTGGTTTGTTTCTGTACAATTGTTTTAAATATACTTATTATAACAAGTTTACTCGGTATAAAACGACTTCGTACAACGCAACATTTTCTTTTAATAAATGTTTCATTCGCTTGTATATTCTTTTCTTTATCATGTATTATTTCAATAAGTTTAACCATATCTACTCTTTATTCTAAAACTATTAATTCATATATATGTCAATTAATTGGTTTTATTGTTATATCAAGTTGTCATTGTTTAATGTTTTCATATACATTAGTAACATTTATTCGATTCTTAACAATTATTTATCCATTTAATAAAAAAATAACTTCAATTCAATATATTAAAATCTATTTAATTATTAAATGGATATTAGCTTTTATTTTACCAGGTATAAGTTTAATTTTACCTAATCAACAAATTATATTTCAACCAAAAGCAAGACTTTGTACTATTAGTCAACAATCACCAATATTATTTATATCATTTTGTACTGGCTATATTATACCTCTTATACTTATATCATCAATGAATTTAATTACTTATATAAATGTCGCATGTTCACGACAAAAACTTGGTCTATCACAAACAAAATTAACTCGTTTAAATAAACGTAAACGTCGAAATTTACGTTTATTAAGACAATTTTCATTATTTACAATTATATTTCTTTTTGGTTGGACACCATTTATTTTAATTGAAGTCATTGATAAAGAAGAAAAACTTTCGGATATATTCTATTTATATACACTTATCTTACCATCGATATGTATTTTAATAGATAGTAGTGTTATATTACATTGGAATAAAACAATTTATCAACAAATTCAATTATGGAAACAAATATTATTAAGAAAAACTGAAATAATTAATGATGAACGTGATTATCATGTCACAACTCATGAAATTACTTTGATGAGTAGAAATTCTTGATGTTTAAATAATTTGAGAGAACCTGTTTTCGAATTTTGTTTTTCAAAAAAGTATATGTCAACAAATAATATGTCAATGTTTTAACGGAATTAGAAAAATATGTTCGATTTCAAATCATCAGTTCTTTCTCATATATGTATAGTCACATTTTCTTCTCTCATGGTCAACAATCATATTACTTCATTTCGTTTTTTTTCTATGTTGTTGTGTTTTTTCGTATTTTATAATCTAACTGTTTTTTTGAGTAAAGACGATGACAACGCTTTCTCCACTTATATTTAAAACCGCTGGTTAAAAGTGTAAGAAAAAAAAAACGAGAAAGAAAGTCTGCTTATTTTTATATTATTCTGTTTTGTTTCAATTCCAAGATTTGTACACATATAAATGGCAGATGCTGAAGATCCTCAAAAAATTACTCGATTTCGAGAATCAGTTGATATTCAAGAAATACCAAGACAAGGACATGAATCACAATCAATGCTCGATGAAAATTCGAAAGAAACATCAGGAAAATCAAAATCCTGTGTAATTTTATCTCTACATATAATCATTCAATTTAATATTTCTTCTTTTTTTTAGGTCAAAATATTTAAAACAAAACAAAATATTTTTATTATGGTTGTTCTAAGTTGTGTTGTTCTTGGAACCGTAAGTCGTATATTATTCAGTACAGAAAGTATGCAAGTTTTTCCGAGCAAAATATTATATTTGATATTCTTTTTTTTTTCTTCAACAAATAGACATTGATGATGATTCTCTTACATTTAATGATATATGTGAAATTGGTACGAAACAATGTGATTCAAGAAAAAGTCTTGTTTGTAATCAGAGTCGATGTCAATGTGACTATTCAACTACATATTGGAATACTAATTTACTGACATGTCGTAAGTTCATTTCTATTTGAAAATAAATAATTTTCAGTTTTTTTTAATATATAGTTCCACGTGTTAATTATTCTCAAGCATGTCAGTTTGATAATGAATGTTTGCCTACACTTATTTGTCCGAATATATCAGGTGTATGTAATTGTTCAGAATATCTACCTAAATTAGTTTGTAACTGTGAGAATACAAAATATTATGATCCAATTCTATCACAATGTGGTATGTATAAAATATTATATATATATTTCAATTTTTATAAGTTTACGTTTTTCTTTTAAATAGTAAATCGAGCATCAATCTATGGTTCATGTATAACATCAGCTAACTATACATGTCTTACATCACTTCTTTGTTATAAGGGTAAATGTTTTTGCCCCAGAGGCATGCAATGGAATTACACAGAGACAATTTGTACTAAAAACTAATAGTTTTTTTTATCTCATTTTTCTTCTTTGTATGTTGCATTTAATATATATGATAAGATTTTTTTTGTGTGTTTATTCTGATGTCTGCCAAATGATGTTTCTGGCAAATTTACTATTGTATCTTTATATTTTGTTTGATGAGCCATATTTTTGTATCTGTGAAGCAGATATCTTATTGATGATTAATATAATGTAGAAAAAATAGCGAAGAATCTCGAAGAGTTAATCGAGCATTGACGACAGATATTCATAAATATCTTCTTTATCTGAATAGCTGCATACACAGACTACATATATTTCTTGATCATAGAAATGGCTCGCAAACTGATTATATATGAAATCATACTAATAATATTGAATATTTATTGGTGTGATGGAACAATTAGTGGTACACGTGACCAGGTAGTATATCTGTATGAGATACACATATATATGAAATTCATTTACTGTTGGTAATAGATTGTTCTCGCAAATTTTAAAGCACAATTATCAAAAGCTCGTACATTAAAACAAGCTCTTGCTATATATGCTGATTCAAGTGTGAATAATAAACATCAAGTAGCTATGCAAAGTATTATTAAAACTTAAGAGAAGTTTGTTTTTGTTATCTTTGAATTTTATCTTCTAGCTGATATTCGTAAACTTGAAAAAAATATTGATACACAATTGAGTGGCTTTCAATTGGCAGAAGGTTAATTAAAAAACCTTACTGATTGTTTTATATATACATATATATTTGTAGATGATAAACTTGTTCCATATGTAAACGGTGGATGTTTACCTCGTATTACATGTGTTCCTGTTTATACTCAAGAAGTAACAACAGGTGGTATTATCTTTCCCAATTGTGTTGAAGTTCATCGATGTTCTGGTTGTTGTCAAGAAGCACAATTTTCATGTGAACCAACTAAAATCGAATATATTTCATTTAGTCCTGTAAATAATTTTCTCTCATAGAATTATTTTCAAAAAGAATCGCTTTTTTTTAGATTGTTAAATTTGAACATGGAGAAGGATCTGCTTCACCAATAGCTGCCTTACAACCATTTAAAACAGAAAATCATACAGAATGTACATGCAAATGTAAACTTGATGAAAATGCTTGTCCAAGCAGTGCTCAAGTATTTTAAATAGAATATATATATAGAATATTAATACAAGAATTTTATTTAGATATTGGATCGTGAATTATGCCGTTGTAGAGAACAAGCATGTTTTCCTCAATGTCAAGCAATGCAACGTTGTCAATTACTTAATACACAAGAGAAACCATCATGTGTATGTAAACGACCTATTCCAGGTCAAAATGGGGCACACTCATGTTCTTCGGGTTATCAACCTGATGCTCGGTGCAAGTCAGTATATATTATCTTATTAATCATTTCTATAAAATTTTTGTTTTTCTTTCTAGGAAATGTATGAAATATCCATGAAGATAAAAGACAGAAAAGATACATATATATATATATATATTCTTTTGACAATTATTTGTTATATGATATTATGTATAATAAAAATATATAGATAAATAAATATATATATCATAGATATATGCGAAATATCATGAGTCAAAAAATGACAGTCATGTTATCTATCATTATTGAATTAAGGCGTTATATATATATAAGGGATTTTTCCCATATTTGTTACTTGTATAAGTAGAAATAAATGTATCCATTTCATAAAAAACAAAGTATGACGAAAATGTATTTGTTAACAATATTTATTTGGGTTTTATTGGTTAATTATATGAATTGTGATGAGGTATGATGAATAGTGTATATTTGAGAAAAGAAAATTTAATATTTTATTCAGACTAAGTATCAACATGCTGAAATTCGTGCTCGTTTGTCAAAAGCGAAATCAATTCGAGATGCTTTGGTTGTTCTTAAAAGTTCAGGCAAAAAGGGTCGTATGGGTTTGTATAATATTTTTAAATTAGTTTTTGTTTTATTCAATATATATATACTTTTATTTTAATTAGCATTACTTTCTCCTGAGTTATTAAAAAAAGAACAACAAGATATTCAAAATACTGCTCAACAATTGAGTAGAGGTATTTTCATATCATAAGTTATGGTTTTAAAATTTTCATGCTTAACTTAGATGCACATTCAACAATTGAACCTCGAAATGGTGGTTGTGAACCTCGTGTTATATGTGAAGAAGTACCTGTTGATCGTGCATCGAATAATAATATGGTATCATTTCCACAATGTCTTGAAGTACATCGATGTGGTGGTTGTTGTCAAGAACCTCAGTTTCCTTGTGTACCTGTTCGACAAGAACCAGTCACATTTAGTCCAGTAAATACAACCAAAAAAAAATTCTTTTTCTATATGAAAAAAGTTTTCTTTTATTTAGTTATTATTAATTTCTTTGGATGATACAGATCGATATGAAGTTAATCGTCCATTAACAATAATGAATCATACACAATGTGAATGTAAATGTAGTAAAACAGAAGATCAATGTCATCGCGAAGGCAAAGTAAGAAAATTTTTAGATTTATTTATTCGATTAAAAAATAAAATAAAAAAATTTCTTTTTTTCAAGACACTTGATTCAACATTATGTCAATGTATTCAACCACGTTGTACACCTGAATGTCTTATATCATCAACATGTTCAATAGTACCTGGTAGTAATATACCACGTTGTGCTTGCCGTCGCCGTATACAAGGACAAATAAGTAATTATTGTTCAGCTGCCAATCAACGACCAAATTCAATGTGCACGTAAGAAAAAAGATTTTCTACAGCAAAAATATTATTTTTAAATTTATTTTCTTTTAGACGTTGTGAGACAATTAGTGGTTAACATATTTTCATGTTTGATTAAATTATTATAAAAAAACAAATACATTCTCTTTTCTCTCTTTCTTCTTAAAAATATAATAATAAACTTATTTTGATTGATTAAATCTTTGAATAAATACGATCCAAACAATAAAGGTGGATATTCATAGGAGAGTATATGATAGAATAGATGAAAAATGAATTTTATTATTAGAATGAAATATAGTCATAAATTATGATATGTTGTCATTATGCCGATGACTGATCGATTTTTCTACGTTACTATGTAATTGTTCATTATTATTATTAATATTATTATGCATAAAATGATTGATCGATTCTACTATTTATATTATCATGATAGAATAAGATTTAACATATCTATATCGACTAGACTATCAATCTATTTTCAAAGAATAATTTTTATCTTCTGATTAAATCTATTTATACTATTTTGTTCTAGAAATCATCATAGTATTGCTATAGAAAAATGAAAACATTAATTATGATTAGATTCATTAGAATTAAATCTATTTTGACTATAATATTTAATTAGATGATTCATTTTTATAATAAAACCTGTTTGTTCTTTGATGAAAACATGTAATGCCTGAAAATTGTTTAATTTACAATCGTGAGAAAAGAAAAAAGATTAGTTAATACAATAAATAGGTATATGTGTACAAGTGCTGAAAGCCCCGGAAAACGAACACAAAGTTCGATCTATTACACATAAATTCTAGCTTGGTTAAAAATGAAAGCTTATTGATTTTCATCATTAGGATTGACTGTTGTTGATGTTCGTCGACTATCGTCGTGAAGAACCATAGTAGGTGTTTCAGGACGAGAACGTAAACGAACACGTCTTCTAGTACGTTTTAAACCACCACCACTAATATGGCTAAGCCATCGATTATTTGTATGTGACACTTTTCTTCTACGAGGTTTTATATTACTTGATATTGAAGTATGAGAATCTTCAGTATTTGTTGTTTCTGAAAGAAAAAAAAAATCCTTTTTTGATGAAAATAAAAAAAATCTATTCATTTTTACCAATATCATCATCATCATCATCATCGTCTTCATCGTCGTCATCATCATCTACACCTTTAGGTGGATCACGTACACGAGTAATTAATTCTGCTAGATCAATAAATTTTGTTGCAGTTGATTCTTGTTTACGCTAAACACAGGAAAAAGAAGAAGAAGAATATTTGAATGAAAAATTAGAATTTTATATTAACTAATCGTGATTGTTTTTCTCTCATTGTCTTAAATTTTTGTTTCAGAAAAACTGTATCATATGATTCTAATTTTGACCAACCATGAAAAACAGCTTTTCCATGATGATAACCAACATCCTGTAATTTAATAATGTTAAAGAAATTAAAATTTCATAGGAGTACAAACTCGAATTTCATCAAATAAATTAAAATGTAATGTTTGATAACGATCAATGGGCGGACGTAGATATTCACAATAATTAGAATTTTTTACTATTTCTAATTGTCTTTGACATGATACATAAGCAAGACGAGTTTGAATTTCACTTAATTCAGGTACTTTAACAGGAGTTGACCAAATATTCCAACGTTTATATAAAATCCACCAACCTAAATTAAAAATTTTTGTTTTTGAATTTATATTCATTAAAACTCTATCTCTTTCATACCGGAAAGTTGATCACCAAAATTATAAAAATTCTGTTCATCTTGTGCACCAACATCCACAGCAAGAACGGTATGCGCACCGAGTTTATACATCACATCAGCTAAAAGATTTTATTTATTTACATAAAAAGATTCTGTGCTAACTATTATTGAATAGATTCCTGGACAGTTGTTGTTCTTTTTTTGAAATTTAGAACACAATTAATTACCTCGAATATTCCGCTAGTACTCTATGTTGTAATTTATCTAATAGAAATTTGCTCATATAGAATATATATTAATTAATCATAAAAAATAGCTTATTTCTTTATCATGCTAAGTAATAAGAGTAATTTCAATTCGATTCAAATTTTTATTTAGTAGAAAATCTTACCCGGCAAATTATTTACATATCCGCCATCAAGTAATAAATGTCCATCATTTGGATCACATAATCTATCATACCGAAAAAATAAAATTTTTTACTTCTAAAATCTATATAAAAGTTAACTTACGGAGGAAAATAACCTGAAAGACTCATTGATGCTCTCACATACCGCCACAATGATCCTATAGTTATATAATTAATAAAACTCATAAATGATATACAACAGTAAATTAGATAAGATTATCACTTAGAAAAAGACGTATGATGTGCTTTTAGAAACTGTCCAGGAATCTGTGATATAAAAGATAAATCAATTCTATTCATTGATTATTTTCTTTAATCTACTGAAATCTTACCAGGAAGATTGTTCATATAGCACCCATCTGAATAAAATAAAATAAAATAAAATCGTAGATTTGTTTTTTTGTTCTTTCAATTTTTTTTTCTAAATGTTTTTTTTTTTTACATTTTTAATTTTCTCACCTAAAAGAAGATGTCCATCATTCGGATCACACATAGGCGGAAGATAAAAAGCATAAGTCATTGATGCACGTACATAACGCCAAGCACTTCCTGCAGAGAAAATATGGGAACTCTCATACCTAAGTGTAATTTTTGCAACAGCATACGTCTTTTTCATTGTTCTTTTTTTTTGTTTTGTTTATACATATATGAAAAAAACAATTTATATTACCTGAAGTATGTACACGCATCTTTGATGCTGATATATCAGTTGTAATACAAAAAAATGGAATCCAGAGATCTTCGATTTGTACATCGAGTAAAGCTTCTTCAATAGTTTCATTAAATCCAGCTCCTTAATAGACGAAACAATTCATAGGTTATTTATTCGTTTTCAAAATATAAATTATATATTTATTTACCTGTGAACATGCTGGTTATTGGATATGTTAAATCAATTATTTTTCTCCAAAAAGAGGTCATTTTCTACATAAAATAAAACCAGATATAATAAAATAAAATCAATTAACGTAATTACTTTGCACCATTCCCGAGCTCGGTCAATGAAACCTTTGGTATTTAATTCATCAGCCCATATTGCTCCCATAAGTGCTCCAATACTTGTACCACCAATTAAATCAATTGGTATACCAGCTTCTTGCATAGCTTGAATTATTCCAACATGTGCACAACCTCGTGCTCCACCACCACCCAAAACAAGACCAATAGCTGTACCAGTTAAAAATCGAGACATACGAGCAAAATCTGTTGTTGGATCTGGATCTGGTTCAAGTAAATCTGTATAATCGTTCTAAGTATAAAATATATATTAAGTGGAAATGTATTTAAAGAAAAGCTGGTTTTTCATACCCAACATTCTAAATTGACATGTTGAAAAACACGATCGGGACATCGAACATGATGATGGAATGTACACCAATTACGTTCTTTTAACCATTCAGCAGTACCTTTGGGTTTTGTACTACCCATACGATGTAAAAGAATTAATTCTTTTTGTGCTCGAACTGCTATTCGTTCCATTTCAGTTTCAACCTATTTAGAAATCGATATGTTGTATAATTCATGTATAAAAATGTAAGTTATAAGTTCAACTTTTGCGACTCCCCGCCCCGCCACGGGAAAAAAAGCTGACTTTTCTGTAGTTTTTACATAGAGAATATCGTTTTTCATGAGAGATAAAGGTTGAGATTTTTCGATATCTTCTCCTGCCTGCAAGGCTTATGAACCGGAGTTAAAGCTCGAGAGCAGGTTATATAATGATTAGACATCGTGATCAAAGCTCAACGATTACTTTTCTTTAGTAATCGTGGTGAACATGTAAGTTCCATATTTTAGCCACAAACGGACTACGCCGACAAGCTTTTTTTTATCATTATTCAGAATCAGATTTCATATTAAAGCCTTATAGTATTAATTGCAAATGCTAAAAAGCTGTTCTAGCCATACCATGCGAAACAATCAAGATTGTTTTGAAGTAGAACTAAGAGAAATGATCATTATTTAATTTCAAACTAGATACATGTTATCAAAATCTTTTTCATATTTGGGATTTTGTCTGCCTAGATCAACCATAGATTCTATTCAAAATAAAAAATTTCAAATAATCTCAATGACTTCACTAAACGTAAAAAGAGTAACACCTATTCGTTTCTTCGAAATATTATTTCAATACTTAAATTAATAATTAATATTATAGTCTAGAATATACAATACTAACTGAGCCTTTAACTGGTTCTTTCCATCCAATACCAACAATAAGTATACAATCAGCTTGTCGAAGTGATCGTTTTGTCCATGGTGTTAATTGTTTATCGCATTGATAAACAACAATTTTATGTACTTCTTCTTGTTGACCAAGCCATGCACTTAGACGATAATCATTAATACTTTCAAATGCACTATCACCAAAACGATCAATAATTAATTGTTGTGTTAAATGAAGTGTTGGACCTTGAAATATTTTAAAAAAAAGGAAAAGATAAATTATTATATAGAAATATAGTCATTTTGTTTTTCTTACCAATAGCTAATAAACTATGTACAAGTTCACAAGTAAATGAATCAAGTGGGACGTCATATGATGCAGCAACAATGGCAACAGTTGACAAATTTTTATTTAATGCTGTTGTTCGATCTTGAAATTCATCTAAAAATAAATTCAATAAAATAATTAATTTTTATCTCTTTTTATTTTAACTACCATCAGCTAATGGCATTGTTAAACCAACACTATTTGTTAATGTATTTTGCATAGTTCCATAGATTTTTTGTGATAATACATGAATTAAATGGGAAACAACACGTGGATGACGCCATTTGATATAATTTAAAAGTCCAGATGGAATTACAGCTAATTCTGTATCCCTATAAAACAAAAAAACAAATTATTTCTATTTTTATTAATCCCATTTATTTTTTTTTAAGGCTATACCGAACAGCAATGGTAGTTGATTGTCGAGGCATCTCCATTAATACTTCAATAAGACCAACCATTTCTCCACGGCCATGTTCACCAATAAGTTCTCGTCGTTTTTTATCTTGTGCTAATAAAACACTTCGAACACGACCATTGAGAACAATATAAACATTTTGTGGTTTATAATCTTGTCTATTTATTTAACAAAAGAGAAGAAAAACATAAACGAACTTAAATAAAAAAATGAATATTTTTTTTGTTTTTCATACCGATATAAAGCTTTTCCAGCTTCAACTAACATCCATTCAAGAGCAAAATCAATTTGTCGAACTAATGGAGACATTCGTTGGACCATCACTAAGATATGAAACAAAGACATACTATATACGATTCAGAAATAAAATACATTAACTTACCCGATGCTATTGTTAATACAAGGTTTGGTTGAATACGCAAAAGATCATACATGCCTTCTTTCGTTATTGTACAAATATCTGTCAAACCATGAGTTCGATATGTAAACAATGTTGGTTCTATAAATTATTACAATTTTTAATTTATAGAACAAAAAAACAATTCATTTTATTATACGAACCACCAGTAAGAACACTGACAAGGCCACTAACTTCATTTGCTTCGTTAGTAAACATTACACCTTTAATAATAATTAGAAGAAGAATAAATATCAAAAATTTGTTTTTATAATTAATATAAAAAATTATTTACGTTCTTTTTTAGCTTCACTTATTTCTTTCATATAAGCAGCTATGGAACCATGTATAACAAAATATAATTTATTCAATTGTTCACCTTCTTTTGCTAATGTATATCTATCAGGTAAACGATGTATATGAGCTTTATCATCAAGTAATGTAATATCTCCTTCAAAACCTATTAAAAATTAAATACATATATATATATATCGTATTTTTTCGATGAAAATATAATCTCTAACCAAGAGCTTTTGCTAAAGCTTCTCGAATATTTGGCCAATCAGCTTGTAGATTTGAATCATCAGCACGTTCATTATATTCACTTCCTTCACTATCACTACCAGAACCTGCTGATCTTGGATATGGAGGTATATAATCAGGCTAATGAAATATTCATATAAAATTCGAAAAGAAGAAAAAGAAAAATATACATCAGAAAAACTTGCACGTCGATTTGAAGCAAATGCATTTGCTGCTCGATTACTTGGTACATTTGGATAACTTATTTTATGTTTTTCAAAAAATGTTGTATCTAAAGAATTTTTTACTCGAGCACGTGCTGCTGCTTCTTCAAAATCAGGTTTCATATGACGACTTTCAACAACACTCATTGATCGTAGACCAGCAAAAGTAGTTGAACGCTTGTGTAATGGCATTGGTATAGATTTTGTTCGTTCAGCTATTGTTGGTATTGGAATACTTTCAAACTCATTCTGATGTTCAGCTATTTCCGGTGTTACTGTTGTTTCAGTTTGATCCGATGAGGGTGACGTATAAGATACAGTTGAAATTGATCGTGATAATCGACCATTAGCATTGTCAGTAAAATCATCTTCAGTAGTATTTAATGTATCAGTAGAAGCTCTTATTACTGGAGGAAGAGTCTTTGGTTGAACATGAGCGTGTTGACGATTAAGTTTAGGATGCTGACGATGAGGATTACTTTGAGTTCTAACAAGTGGTTGAGATTGATGATGACCAACAGCAGTTAATTCAGTTGTTAAACCCAAATAATCATGAAGAGCAAGAAATGTTACACGTTGAAGTCGTATCATCAGCATCTATATAAAATAAAAGTTCATTTTACTACTTATTTTCTAATGAAAACTTACTTGAATAATTCGAACCATACATTCAGGATATTCTTTAAAAACACCAAGAAAAGCTGAAGCAGGTAATTTGAGCACAATACTATCTTCAATTGCTTTGCAACTAACAGTTTTAAATGGTTTACTATGACCCTAAAATATCAACAAAAACTCAACAAAAATTATTGCATTTTAAACTTACAGTCATAACATCAACCATACTTAATAGAGAAAAAACTGTATCACCTTCAACACATTCTTTAATTAAATGTCGATGATGTCTCTAAAGATTAAATTTAGTTTTTCTTAAAAAAATGATGGATAGATATCTATAGATCTTACTTCATCTGTTATAAATACATGTAAAAGTCCTTTTTGTACAACATATAAACTATCATCAACATCTCCAATACGAAAAAGATAAGAACCAGCAACAAGTGTTTTACTTTCTAAAGATTTGCACAGTGCAAGAAAAACTGGTCGTTCAAAATGACCAAAAACTCTAGAAAAATGAACAAGAATTATATTCTTACTTGAACTGACATTAAAAATACTTCAACATACTTAACACTTTTTAATAAATAAAGTATTTCAGGTGGTATTTGATGTTGATTTGATGTATCGACTGGATCACCATCAGTATCAAGTAAAAACTCAGGAGGTTTACGTGGTCCTGAATAGCCTAACTCTGATGGAGATCGTTGATGAAATCTATATTACAAAAAAAGCATCAAATTTAAATAAATCAAACTTATTCTTTTCTATTCACCGTCTTGCTTTACGTCGAATTCGATTTTTAGCTGTTGATGAGTATGATCGTACCTTAGATTAAATATTAGAAAATTTGATTTTTTAAACGAAAATCTAAATTTTTACTGTTCGAAGAATTCGTTTTCCATAATGAAGTACTTTATCACGTTTTCGAAATCGATTAAGAGTTTCATTAGCTAAGAGAAATATTCCCATACATAATTATTTATTTTAAAAATTATATTTACATCGAACTTTAGCTTGAGATCGACGAATAAGATAATAAAGTAGAACAGCAACAATAAATAAACAAAACCCAACTATTGTACTTTCAATACGATCTCCGAATATCTGAGAAAATAATGATTTAGAATTTAACAAAAAAGAAACCCATAGATAAAACTCACTAAATGTCCAGCTGGAGATGCTATATATTGATAAATAGTATTGAAATATTTCGAAACAAAATTAGTAGTATTCATTTTTATTTACATCTACAAAGAAAATTGATAACTATTTTTGCTTTTGTTATCAATAGCAAAATAATTTTCTCATTCATTATCGAACATTTCTTTTCATTCAAATAATTTTTTTTATCAAGTTGCTTGTTTTTTAAATATATATATATATAAGAGTTTCTAGAAAAATTTCACACCGCTCATCGTGCATAAGAGAGAAAAAGAATAAAACGAAAAATGCTGGGATCTTTATATTTTTAGTTGCAATTAGTTAAAGCATTGGTAAATGCAAGCACATCAAAATCTATTCGTTTGCCAATAGGGCAGAAGAAGAAGAAGAAGAAAAAACCGAGAGAGTGAGAGAAAGTTGAACATTAATTTTAAAAAATTCGTCATTCGGAAGATCTGAGATTAAAAAAAAATAATAAAATTCTCATTAAAATTCAACAGAACAAAAAAAAATATTTTGTCATTCTTTTAAGATGTTTGTCGTTCATAAAATAACACGTATGCATTTGAAGAGACTATTCTTGTATTATCACTTATTAAATGAACAGATGAATCATTAAATTCATGCCATTCATTTGTAAATGGATGTTTACATTGGGCTATATAATGGCCACTATAAACTGAACCACTATGGTTTGAAATACCAATTAAATTATATGTTGGTATTGGTCCTAGAAAAGAAAATTAGATAGGGAAATATTTGTTTTATTTTATTTTATTTTACCTTGATAACTTTCTGACATAACATCATGTAATTTATCAAGTCTGAGGTTCGTGATTGGAAAATCTACATAGGTATTTAATTTTGCTCTACTATAGGTTTGGGAAAAGCGTTTTAAATGAAGAACAAGTATTTCAGGACATCTTTGAATTGATAGTTGTTTTGTACATGGACGTTTTTGTTTACATTTAGCGCACATCTTTAAAAAATGATTATGAAATAAGACGAATATTTATTTTATTAAATGAAAATAGTTTCTTACTGGTTTTTCATTCCCATCGAGTTCTTCTCTATTCATAAATAATTGAATACATTCTTGCAAACTTGTTGATGATTTATCCTTAAAAAAAATAATTGTAAGTTTTTATGATTATTTATTTATTTATTTATTTACACGTGGTAATGGTATTGATAAATCCCAAAACATATCAAATGTAATCGATTGATATTGACAATAAGAACATTCAAGTGTACTTTTTAATTGTCCACCAAAAATATCTTAATTCATAAAAAAATAAAAATAAACAAAATTAATTTTAATAATATCTACCAATAATACGACTATTTTCAAAACGTAAACAACGTTTCCAACTTGCTTCTGCACGATCTTTTTCCCTGAATAATAAACATTAAAATATATAATGAAATCAAATATTCAATAAGATCTTATATATTTAGTAAATTGTAATGAATTATATCTGACGTAAGTATTATCCTTATATGTGATTATATTTATCTGGTAGATAATAAGACACTAATGCTGAACGATCGTGACAATATATAATTATAAATTTGATAATATTTTAAAGTATTTCCTTAAGTGCTCAACAATGGCATTCATTCTATATGTTAATCTTTACATTTGTAATAGTAAACTTTATTCAATTTCCTTAAGAACTAGCCGAGAATATGAACGATTATTCATAAAAATCTACAAGAGATATCTAAGGAAATTTTCTTGTAAGACTTTCATACTCTTAATCAAAATTATATATTGATCGAATAAAGATATAGTTAACTTATTTTGGTAATTATACCTCATTCGTTCCTCTTGTTTTTCATCGATTGTAATTGGAGTTGGTTTTTGTGATACACGATTAACATCTTCACTAAGACCTTGCAAAAGATATCTTAAAAATTCTTGTGAATCTTGTTCTCTATGATGAAAAAAAAACAAACGAGAATTTATTTCTTTTTTCTAAACTAAAATCAAATATTTCACATACGAATAACCAGTAAAACGTGGTGCAAATTTTCCAATTGTATTTTTAAATGAAGATGGACTAACAATTGATCGTCCTTCTGGTAAAAGCCACATTTTATGAATTAAATTTGCATATTCTTAAATAATAAATTAATATTAAAAAATCAATATTTTATTTTCCCCTTACCTTTCATTAAAACTCCTTTCATAACACTTGTTGTTGATTGATTTAAATGATTTTCAAGATCATCTTGTAAACAAAATAATAAGAGTGGTTTCGTATTTGATAAACATTGAAGTACTGAATTCATAAAACACTAGAAAATAAATAATATTTATATATGTTTATTCAAAAATTTAATATAAAAATTTTACAGTATTGCCGAGATTCTGAAGGCCACATAAACCACCACTACTTAATCTTGATTCATTAGTTACTGATGATGATGATGATTGATTTGTATATCGTTCATTTGATGAAGATTTCAATATTGGAGATTCATTATCGGTATAATTCGTTGGTCGAGAAGCGGATGATATACTATAAACAGTGACTGTTGGATTTGTTATGTATGGTTCAGTATAGCTATTATTGGCAATTTTATTTGTTTGAATATTCTACAGAAAAACAAGATTGATTGAAAAAAAAAGAATTGTTTTTTTATTTAATAAAACAAACTGATCGATCTTGACTTGGCAATCTTGTTGATTGTATAGTAGGGAAAATTGTTCTTGTCGGTCTTTCAGATGATAGTTGATTGAATCGACTTAGTGGTCGAGTTCGACTATTAGTTATTGTTGATGTATTCGTACTATCCGATTGGAAATGTTTTCCTAGGGATGCAACATTTGTATTTGTAACTGATCGCAATGGACGTGATGCTCCATTGTATATACTCGAATGAGTTGATGTTGATGATGTTAAATCGTATCGAGGTCCTTGTCGATTCATTCAATAACTTAGATTGGCGGCACCAGGTGGCCACCTGATTATCTAATACATTTAGATCTAAAACAATGCGTGTTGTTTTTTTTTATTTGATGAAAAAAGTTAATCTTTTATTTTTATTCTTGTTAATCATCGGATAGGTTTTTTTTTCGCTCTGTCAAAAACAATGCAATACAAAAAAACAATGAGATGTTACAATATTTTTCCTTGTATCGAATGCTTTAGAAATATGTATGAGGACGACGAGTTGTAAAGCGTGGATGATGTAAACGTTTTGTTGCTTTATTAACCATTGGAAATCTAGGAGAAAAGAAAAAAAAAAGTATGAATTTTATTAATAACAAAAGAAAAGAATCTCATGACATATTTGACATACTTAATTTTTGAATCATGAAATTGTGTTACATGTGGTCGTCGACATTCTTTGGCAGGTAAACGTTTTATTTTCATGATTTGAATAGTTGATGGTCGAGCACGATGTTTAGCTCCCATATCTCGATAACATTGTGTTACAGCTAATGCACGTGTTAAATCACGATATTCACGGTACATATTATGTGTACCGGAACGTGAATCATAACGAAGCCAGATACCAAAATTTTTAACTACTAATGGTTTACGTTCATTGACTAATTTAGCTTCAACGATTTCACCAGCACTTTTCTTGACACGTTTAAGTTGACGTAAAAAGAACCAAAAACGTGATTTAGCTTGAACTTCATCAGGTGCATAGATATGCATTTCGTAGAGTGGTGGTGTTTTTAATGCTGCTGATGGAAGCTTACGACCGATGATACGGTACTCACGAAGGTTACCTTTTGCTTTCATGATGATTTTTTTTTAGTTTTCTTATAGAGACTAACTAATTATCTAAAAAAAAGAAAATATACGTGAACAGATATGTAAGATTAACAAGCAAATGTAAAAGGGGAAAAAAACAGAAAATAAATAAAAAAAATATTTTATGGTAAACTATGGAAAATGATATGATTGGTTTTTAACATGTAGAGTTTTGTGTTGCTGGAAGGAGGAATAAATATGTAACAATTGAGATGTCATTCTATGACAATCAATAAATTCAAAATTATTATATTTTTTTAATTAAAAAAAAAACCCAACAATAATTGAGCTAATATTAATTTGTAAGACATATGTTTTTTTATTTTTCCAATATTTATTACAATTTTATTTTATCGATTAGTCAATCTTGTTTTTGCATTGCCCTCAGTATAATCGGTTTAGTATTCTCTATTCACATAGATGCATTTTTTTTTGTGCTCGAAAAAAGAAAGACGAGAATAAAGACAATCATCTTTTTTTTATCGCTGTCGTCATTCCGTTGACAAAAGCGCTCGCGCGCAAAGGGAAGAACGCGAGACAGAGAGAGAGAGATGGAGACAAGTAGCTAAGGGAAGGAATAAATTATTGTTGGGCGTGGTGTTTCTTCACATTCTTTCTCTCATTTTTTCTATTAGTTTGGAGTGTGCACACATTTTATATTTTCTTTCAGTATCGGCATAGTCATCTACTAGTTTCTTTTGAGTTGATTTTTATTGTGTTCTGTCAAATGTATATATATACTGGTTGCATGTAACTTATACTAGTGTTCAATGAATACCAATCGAAAATCATATTATTATAATCATCATGTTGATTACTTTTGATTATAATAATGACACAAATAACAACATCGGTGCCAATGGTTTACAAGTAAGGTTAATAATAATAAGAAAAAAAAAGAAGTAGAAGACGAAGACAAATATGCATTGCTCTTCTTTTCCCTGTTTTCTTTTTCTTTTCTTTTTTTTTCCCGTGAAAATCCTATTCAATGCTTTTAGTCTTTGTCTTCTATCCAGCTCATGCTTTCTTTAAGGTCTTTCTTCTTTTTTTTTTCTTCTTTTTGTCTTCGGGTGTTTTTTCCTCTTGCGTTTTATATCTATGAATGGATGAACAACAATTACATATATTTCTAACACAAGAGCGTGATCTAATGATGTGTCTATCTATGTAAAAGTAAGAGCGAAAGAAAGAATCATAGTCTAGAGCATGAATAAATTGATAATAAAAACTGCAATAACAGACAGGCAACAAGGACGAGAATGTCGTGAACAGAACCGGAAATAAACGTTGAACTGAAAAAAAAGCAGAAATGAGAGAGAGAGAGAGAGATAGAGATACAGAGTAAGATAGAAAAAAATAAACGAAGTTGCTTCATTAAATGAACGACATTTTATCGTGTTCGCATCATCCATCTTCTGATTTTAATTTAGACTCTCTTGTTATCAATATATAAGACGAGAGTCAAGTATAATTGTTTAGTGGAAAGGAAAAAAAATATATATAAGAAAAATCGAGAGAACAATTTTTGGGAATGAATTATGGGACAATACGAAAAATAAATAGTGTTCCCAGTTCAAATATGTCTTCTACTGGTGCGATTAATTCATATCCAAGTGAATATGAAATTCATCGATTATGTCAAGAACAAATACTTAAACAACGACAACGAAAATGTTCTCATATTCTTTCATACAGGTATTTTAAATAAAACATAAGTTTTCTTTTTTATTCTATAAATAGTAAGTAGATTAATTTCTTCTGAATGATAATGAGAGTATGGTAATAAGACCCAAAACATATGTGTATTTTGTTTATAATTGAAAAATCTTCTTGCAGTCATCAACAACTTTATGATAGTGGTATATTTCGAGGGAGAAAAGTGGATGGTGTTGTGGCAGCTGATGTAAACAGGATGAGTTGGTTGGTCGATTTTAGCTTATCGTCTTTCGCGTTACCGCTACAACCGATGCCTCGGCTTACGCGCAGAAAACAATTAGAGATAGGGCGGTAGCTATGGCGCGGCACTAGTTTTCTTTCTCTGACGCATGGCGTATGCGTATCCTCGTCCTAGCTTAGCTCGTTCGCTATTTTTCCCATTAACAGAACGGGAAGTAACAGAATAAAGATCTTGGCATCGTCGTTTACCTTGTTGTATTCTGTGTGACGGTAGTGTACAGAGGCAAATAATATACAAGGCCATGTCGACGTCATCTCTTCGGCAACATCAACGAAAATCGACAACAGCTAATAGTGGTCATTCTCCATTAGCTCGAAATAATAGTGCTGGCAATCCAACACAACATCATTCCTCATCAACATCATTTGCAACTCAAAGGTCATATAGATCACTTCCATCGCCAACAATGACAACAACAACAACGACAACAGCAACAGCAAATATTCTACATGAAGATAATCAAAATCAATTCAATGAAAAAAATTCAAATAATTTCTTTTATTTTGATCATCCAATAAATAACTTTCAAAATTCATCAATAAATCAAAATATTAATGATTTACATATGCCACGTTCAACACGTCATCTATGTGGTTCAATTATTCCTTTACAATCATCAACACCATCACCAAATATTGATCAACAATCGATAGAAAATGATACTCCAAATTCACCAATTTTTTCTCCTCTTCCGTTTCGAAAACTTGATCTTAAATATAGGTCTCATTTCTTTTCTATTATTATTATTATTATTATTTCAATTATTTTAACATACATAACACTAATAATATTTATCCTATCTATATATATTTTTTTTTCTTCATTTAGAAATTTGGGTCGTAATGGATTACGAGTATCTCAATTAGGCCTTGGTACTTGGGTTACATTTGGCGGACAGATATCAGATGATGTTGCAGAAGAATTAGTTACTGTTGCATATGATAGTGGAATTAATCTATTTGATACAGCTGAAGTTTATGCAGCTGGAAAGTAAGACTTTTTTTTGCCTTATATGATTATCTATATGTTTTTCATATCGATATGTAATAGAGCAGAAATAACACTTGGAAAGGTTTTAAAAAAGAAAAAATGGAGAAGATCAAGTTATATTGTATCGACGAAATTATTTTGGGGTGGAAAGTATGTAGATAGATATAGATATATACATATATGTAAATAAAGATTATTGCATCGAAAGAATGTTGTTTGATTTTGTAGAGCCGAAACAGAAAAAGGACTCTCAAGAAAACATGTTATCGAAGGTTTAAGAGCAAGTCTTGAACGTTTACAATTAGATTATGTTGATATTGTATTTGCTAATAAGCCTGATACATCAGTACCCATGGAAGGTAAATAAAATATTATTGGAATAACATTATTTATTATTTATTTTTCAAAAAAAGAAATTGTACGTGCATTTACACAAGTTATAAATGATAATCTTTGTTTCTATTGGGGAACATCAAGATGGTCACCAATGGAAATAATGGTAAAGTTTAATAATTAATGATTTTTCTTTAAACAAAAAGAAAAAAGAACAATTCCCCTATTTCTTCTTTTGTTTTATTTTTTGTAGGAAGCCTATTCAGTTGCACGTCAATTTAATCTAATCCCACCGATTTGTGAACAAGCTGAATATCATCTATTTCAGCGTGATAAAGTTGAAGTTCATCTACCAGAGATTTATCATAAAATAGGTTAGTAAACAATAACACACAAAAAAGAAACATTTCTAATAAATAAATTTATTATTTATAGGTATCGGTACAATGACATGGTCACCATTAGCATGCGGTTTATTAAGTGGAAAATATGATGACGGTGTACCATTACATTCAAGAGCTGCACTTAAAGTAATGAAAAATGATTATTATAAAAAGAAATAAAAAAATATATGACATACGTATATATATATTTATAGGGTTATGGATGGTTAAAAGATAAAATCTTGAATGAAGAAGGAAGAAAACAACAAAGTAAATTACGAGAATTAGCAGTTTTAGCATCGAAATTTGATTGTACACTCGCTCAATTAGCTATTGGTAAGTTTTTGCAATATCCTTGCGTAATAATTCTCTTGTCAAGACAAAAAAAAGACGACTTTGTCAAGAAATAAATGTCATAGCTAATATAAATTCTTGTGTGTATATACATATATATATGTCAAAGTAATTAACTTATCTCAAATCTGGTTGTCATTGTTAGAAGTTCAGATACAAAAACATACAATAAAGAAACTCTCTATATAATTATAATTTTCTTCTTTCAGCATGGTGTTTAAAAAATGACAATGTTCATTGTGTTCTACTTGGCGCTTCATCAGTTGAACAACTCTATGAAAATCTTAATTCATTACAAGTAATAAACAAAATAACTAGAAAAATATTTATTTATTTTTTCTTCATATTAAAGATTGTTGCAAAATTAACTCCCTCAATAATGGCTGATATTGATCGAATACTTGGTAATAAACCAATTGTACGAATAACAACAAAAAATGAAACAACTCTACCAACAACTATTCAATTACCACAATCACAGCGATAATTATTGTTGTTTTTATATTAAATGTATTTTATTTTTGTCGTAGTACATATTGTATACGCAGTGTGTTTTATTCGTCTTTTATAAAAACGCGCAATAACGCTGTGATTGTGTATTTTTCTTCTTGCTTATTCAATTCCATAACTTTTTCGTTTTCATATCTTCAACATAAGAAAATGAGACACTTTTTTTTTAATAGAATAGAATATAATTTACACTTAACAAAAAAAAACAAAACGATTAACTAAAATATGAAAAGAATCATTATACTGATAGATTTATTATTGAAACAAAAAATATTTAGCAGTCCTTAGAGACATTTACTTATTGTCTGTCATCTAACATATACATTTGTAAATCAGATCTAAGTAAATAATGTATATAACCAGGAAATTGTATTAGATACAACAAAAACAAACATCTATTTATTCAAGTTAAGAATATTTTCTAATAGAAAATAAGCTCCATTAGATGTTCTTTTCTATATTAGATAAATACATATCAAACGTAGTTTAATGGGTTATTTAAAAGTTCGAATTTTACAATTAATAGTTTCAATTTTTTTCGTAAATATTTGAAATTTTATGTATGATAGATTTTTTCATATATGATATTTAAAGAAATTATTTAAATCGAATAAATCTTGTTATTATATTTTTTTAAATTTCGAAATCTCAATATTAAATTTTCTTCGTTTGTTTATTGGTTAGAAAAAAGATTCTATTTGATAGAGGTTATTGAATAAAATTTGATTGGATATTGGTATCGATAAAAGAAAAAGCAATATTTTGAAATTATTAGACGTTCTTAACTCATTTTTTCAGCATGCGGTGTCATTATGAAGTACTCGGTGTTGAACAAACAGCTAATGAAGATGATTTAAAAAAAGCATATAAAAAATTAGCATTACAATGGCATCCTGGTTAGTTTAATTAAATGTAAATTTATCAAAATTAATTATTTATCTTATTTCTCAGATAAAAATCTTGATCAAATTGCTGTAGCACAAAAGCGTTTTCTAGAAATTCGTGCTGCTTATGAAGTTCTATCTGATCCAAGAGAACGTTCTTGGTATGATGCTCATCGAGATGTTATGCTTCAAAAAGGCTCTGGTGATGATTATAAAGATGATACAATTAATATTTTTCCATTTTTTACATCTTCCTGTTATCAAGGATATAATGATACTGAAAATGTATGTTAGACAAAAAAGTTTAATTTTGTATTTCAATTATTATCTTTATATTTACAGGGTTTCTATACAATTTATAATAAATTATTTAAAGATATAGCACAACAAGATATAAAAGCTTCAACTGATAAAACAGTTGAAATACCAGAATTTGGAAATTCAGAAAGTGATTATGAAGAAGTGAGTTAATTTACTGATTTTTTTGTTTTGAAGTTATAAATTTTATATAAAAGGTTGTTGGTCCATTTTATGCATATTGGTCAAATTATTGTACATTAAGAACATATGTTTGGAAGGAAGAACATGATACACGTGACGCATTTGATCGTCGTGTTCGACGATTAATGGAACAAGACAATAAAAAACTACGTGATAAAGCAAAAAAAGAACGAAATGATGAAGTTCGAGTAAGAAATCAAATCTAGAGAATCATTATCTTATTTTCTATTTACAGGAATTAGTTGCATTTGTTAAAAAACGTGATAAACGTGTACAACTTCGAAAAGTAAGATCCATAAAAAAATAATAATTCTGAATAATATTTTCTTTTTAAAGATATATCTTGAAGAACAAGCTGTGCAAAAGAAAAAAGCGGATACTGAAAGACGTAATCGTGAAAAACAAAAAAAATTAGAGTAAGAAATTAAGATTTAGTATTTTTACTCGTATAAATTTTTCTTATGTAGGGAATTAGCACAATATAAAGAATCTCAATGGATGTCATTTGAAGATTTTGAGAAACAATTAGATGATATGGAAAATAAAGTTAAAGGTGATTTTCAAGATTCCGATCAAGATGATACTATTAATGAAAATGAAAATGGTGAAGAAGCTATTGATGATATGAATGAATTATACTGCGTCGCTTGTAATAAATCATTTAAATCTGATAGAGCGTAAGAAGAATTAGCGTTATTTTTTTTATTGATTTTTATTCTTTGAAATATTTTAGTTTTCTTAATCATGAAAATTCACGAAAACATAAAGAATTTGTTCAATTAATGAAAGCACATATACAACAAGAAAATGAAGAATTATTATTGAATAAAGATGAACAAGTCGATTTAACTAATGATGATTATGATCAAAGTGTTCAATTACCTATAAATAATCAATCGAGGTTGGTTTTTCTGTTCAATTAATTCTGAATTCTATTTTGAAATTTATTTTATTAGTAAATCGAAAAAGAAAAAGAAGAAACAACGACGAAATAATAAAGATAATGCTTCATCCGATGATGAAACAGAAGATATGAAACAAGAACTGGAGGAAGAATTATTACCCAAAGATAATACACAAGAAGAAATTTCTAATGACTCAACATCGATAAATGATAAAAAGAAGAAAAATAAATCTACAACGGAAGACAATGATGAGGTTTGAATTATTTAATTATATCATCCAAGACGTTTTGAATATAATTTCTAGGCATCTCAAGAACCTGTTATTCTTCAATGTTTTGTTTGTAAAGAAGAATTTACTTCGCGTAATGTTCTTTTCAAACATATAAAAGAACTTGATCATGCTAAACCAATTCAAGTTAAATCCGAACCAAAAGTGAAAACAAAAACGAAAAAGAAATAAGAACTATTTTCATTATTTATTTGTTATTTTTCAATAAAAAAAATCTAAACAAAAAAAATCTAGTTTTTATTTTTGTTTATTATGATAATTGTTGATTTTAAATTTCTTCCAGATTTCAATGGGTAAACGAAAATCTAAACGAAAACCTCCACCAAAACAAAAACGAATCGAAGCACTTGCCGCTGTATTTCCATGTCCATTTTGTTCACATGATCGTTCATGTGAAGTTAAAGTGTAAGAAAAAAAAAATGATTACAATAAATATTATTTCAAATTTCTTTCGTTAGTGATCGAAAAGCAAATGTTGGTACAATTGAATGTCGCATGTGTCAAGAAGCATACTCAACATCAATTCATTGTAAACTGAATAGGTTTAGTTTTTTTTGAATCTTTTTATTTTTTTCTAGATTTAAGTGAAGCAGTTGATGTGTATAACTCATGGATTGATGCATGTGAAGAACAAAATCGAGATTAATTTGTATATATTTGTAATTTTGTTTTTGAATGTAAAGATGTATTCTGTATTGAAAATTAAGTTAGTTGTATAACTTTGTGTTTGTTAATATTAGTAATAGAATAAAAAAACCAAGAAAACAAATTTCTTTTGTTTTAATATTTTTTAAATAGTATTAATCCTTTGCAGACGTTAATGGATTCTTAAGAAGGTTTTATATAGATTATTTTCATATATACGAAATGATAGTTCAGTCATATCTTTAAATTCCATTTAGCTTTTGTCACTCTTCTATACTTAGGATTATAGAAATCTTTATTAGTCAATCAGTCAATATAAAAGTACTTATTGTTCTTTAATTAGTTCAGATGATATTTTTGTAAATTCAATGATAAATTTATTATTTTAGATGACGAACATGAAACCTGTACTACTACTATTTCCAAAAGCTGTATGTATATGAAGAATTATTTATTATCAAACAAATTTTCTTTTAAAATAGTTACTTAAATCATTTGCTGATGTCAATGAACTTCCATTATCTTATCGACATCTTACTAAAGGAAGACAATTTGCAGTGGTAAATTTTGTTTTTTCTACAATGAGAAAACAAGAAATTGTCAGTATTATTTCTTAGGGTGATAATAAACTACGTGCTCGACGTCAAAATGATTCAACAGCTGAATTGCATTGTTTTCAAAAGAATACGAATGGAAATGAAGCTCAATTAAGTGAGTTTTCTCATTTCTATTTATTATATAAAATACTTTCGGTTTTTAGTTTCATCATCCATAGAAACTTATTCATTAGTACAAGATGTTGATCCACCTACAGATTGTGAACCAAAAGAAATCACTTTTCGACCAGATTTTCCAAAAAAATTAAAACTTCGTTGTTTACCATTTGGTTCAGGTTTGAAAAATAATACGAAATTGTTTCCTAAACGATAATATTTTTTTTTCTAGATGAACCAAAATCTATTGGAACAAAATCAAAATCAAAAAAGAAACGAAAACGTTTAAATGATTAAGATTGTTTTTTTGTTTTGTTATAGGAATAATATTCATTTGAAAATATACTTACTAAACATTAATTTAAATAGTTTTTGATGAATGTCCTTGAATAACCTGAAAAAACATGGTCGATTATTTACTTAATTATATCAATTGCATAAATATTTGCATTTCGGATATTTAAACGATTAATATTATCTATACCAAATGATGATGGATTATCTCTTAATAGTTCTAGCAATTAGCATAAGATATAATGAGTTAGAACATAAATCAATAAGAAAGCATTTCTCGGGACAGAGCTATCACATGCTGAGAGTATGTTCATTTTATAACAGATAGAATAGAATCTTGATCGATAATTATGACATTTGTGCTAAGACTGTGAGAAGGGTCAAGCCAATAGAAGATATTTCGAAATACTTTTTTTGCAAAATAAATCTTAGCATGAAACTTTGAGGAACTCTTACTACATAAAAATAATCTCGTACTTATAAAGTTAAACTTCATATAAATACTTGTGAATGGATAAAAAGAAATTTATTAAAAAATAAAATTCAAATTAACAACCATTCCAACAAGCACATTTACTAAATAAAGTTAAATTATAATGTCGTGGTTCATATTCACCATTTATAACTAGTTCATCAATTTCATCTCGACATTCAAGATTGACAATCGTTTGACGATTAAGAACTGAATAGACAAGTGTTACTTTACCATCGATTGTTATTGACCAACTAACAATTGAATTCATACCAAGATTATAATATGCTGATCCATTTTTTTCAACTAAAAGGAAAAAACAACTAAATATATTCAATTCAAGTAAAACCACTTGCTTTGGCATATAGCCACATCAGTGCATGGCGGCTCTTCGGAAAATGCATAACATGGATTATATCTTAGTATTTGTAAATATTAAAAAAATTAGTCTCTATATATAATTTAATCTTACGAATAGAAATAGAAATCTTTGGGTACATGTCGAAAAGCAGGAATGCCTTGTTTTAATCCAACTCGTGATAAATCAATATTACCAAAACGTCCATCATTATAGGTACAATCCTTTTTTGTTAAATTATTTTTATATTCAATCGATATATTTTCTATTAAATTAATATGAATAGAAAGTAGAAGAAGACTTATTATTGTTATCACCATCATCATTACTCAACATATACAATAAATGGTTACACAGTATGACTGAGTATTTGAGTAAATAAAACAGAAAAAGATAACTGATAAATAATGATGACACTTTTTAGTATTTTATCTTTTATTTATTTCATCTGTTGCAGCAAGTAAGCGAGATATTCACATAAAAATGATTCAATTAAGAGTTTGTGTCGTTATCTTCACTGTTATTCTACCATTCTTAATTACTGCCGATAATCCATGTCGATTTGTATCCAAAGAAAAAGGTACTATTGATTTATCATCACTAGCGCGTAAAGATGGGAAAGCTGCTTTTCCAGATGAAACTCCTTCAATAGGATCTAATTATAGTATGTATTTATTATTTGTCTAAATTGATTGTTGCAAAATGATTATTTAATTTAGTATACAGTTATAACCCGTGTAAACCCTTTTCGGAAGGAGATACATGCAAAGATGTTGCTGTATGTCAGGGTATGATACTGATGTTTTGAATTATTTTTTCGACTTCATATTTTATCTTATGTAGTTTCGAAAGATAAAACCCTTACCTTTGTTCTTGCTAAGCAAGATAGTGCAAAATGGGATGCAGGAGCTGGCCCAGGTACTAATCCAATTATTTCATATAAATTTGATGACAAAGAAGTATTCGTTGAACTGCAATGTACGGACAGTATGACTGCTGAATTTTTAGCATTAGGTGAACAGCCAATTAAGACCTATAAATTTAAGCTATCACATAAATGTGCTTGTTGGAATGGATGTAAATGTAAGTTATTTTGAACGATGAAAAAATGTTTCTACATTTATTTATTTTAAATAGCATCAAGTGACGGTTTACCAGGAGGAGCAATTTTTATCATAATTCTATTAGTTCTAGCTGTTGTTTATTTTGCTGGATTTGCAGTATATAATAAAGTCCATCATCATCGTACAGGTGCCGATATAATTCCTCATCGTACATTTTGGGTTTCTTTACCAACATATGCTAAAGGTGGTGTCACATATATAATTAGTCGAGCAACTGGAAAACCTGTTGAAAAATATGAAAGTATCTAAAAATAAACATTTTTCATTGGCTTTCCCACATATCTAGAACTTTTAGTCCATTATTCCGTAAAGAAAATAAATTTGGAATTTTTTATAAATCATTTCATGTATTGTTTTTTTCGTTTATTTATTTCGTAATCTTTGTAAACTTTAATAATTTATAAAAAAAACAAAATTATTTCCGTGAGAAAATGTTTAACAAATGAAGAGATAAAATAAAAGAATTTGAATGCATTGTATAGTTTTATTTTCATATGTTATTGTGTGTAACAAATTACAGAAATACGTAATAATTCTTTAAATATATTTTTATAATGCTCTTTCTGTTTATCTTGAAAGTTTCTTATGATGATTAACTGACAAGAATCAAGATTTTATTATCAATAAATAATTATAATGATCTGAGAAAATATCCATGACCATTCTGTAACTTTTACTGATAAGCAGAATTGAGTTCTATGACTAGCGCTCTCTTCAGTTATTTATTTTAATTGGACATAATCCTGGGGAAAATATATCCTTGCTTGCTTTCGTTTCGTTCGTTTGCCTAGGACATGCAGACTTATCTATTCTACTCGGACTTTCTTTCTATCAAATAAAAACTTCAATTAGTCATAGTTCTATTTAATTTAGATGGAAACTTGTCAAACATCAAACTGCATTAATAATCCTATAGCTATTTGTCTTCATTGTCAACAAGTAAGAAAAGATTTATTCTAATTTTTATTTAAAATATCATGAAATCATTCTAGAAACTTTGTGTTGAACATCTTTTACAACATAATGAAGAAATGATAAATAAAGCAAATAAATATTGTGATGAATTTAATGAATTAACTGAACAAATTGAAAAACTATCATTTGATGAACAATTTCAATCAGCTCAAGGTTTTAAAATCTTTTCTACTTTATTAATTCTAAAGAATAATTTTGTTTTTCTAGAGGATTTATATGATTGGGTTAATGATCAAATGAAACAATTAGATAAAATCTATGAACAAAAACTATTCGAATTAAAACAAACACATTGTGATACTAATAAACAATTGAAAATTTTTAAACAAATTCAACAAACGAAGTTAAATGATATACAACATCGATTATTTAATTCTCAATTAAGTAAACAGATTAGTTTAGAACAATTAAATCGAATGAATTTAGCTATTGAACAATTACGTGAAGATATTCATCAATTTAAAACAAATCAATGTTCAATTACATTAGTTAATAATGATCAAATGAATTATTCTTATATACCAAATATCGATATTCAATTCAAAAAGAAAATTGCAGATGAAAACAAAACTATTATTGAAGTAGAGCCAAGTTCGTTACAACAAAAAACTGAATTAATTTTCATTAGTTGTTATTAAATATTTGTTTAGAATGTGATAAAATTAAAACTTCTCAATTAAGTGTACATGCAAAACCATTTGAATACATTCCAAAAGATCAAAATTATAGTTCTTATTCGTCTAATCGACAAAATAATTTAACGAATCGATTATTCGATGAATATAATTTAATGAAATCTATAAATCAAGTAATTTAACTTATGATTATATTTTCTAATTGATCTTATTTATTTTGTAGACTATGTGATTGAATTGTTAACTATTTATCAACTATTCGAATCAGAAAAACAAAGAACTTTCGTTCAATAGTGTGATCGATGATGCATTTTATTTCTTAACTTGTTTTTTTTTTTGTTATTTGTATGATATCTTATTATTACAACTTTGGATAGAGATCTCTCTTTTTTTGTTATTGATATTTTGAAGAAAAAGATAGATATAGATTATGATCTTTTTAGATAGTATATATTACAACTGAATTTAACTAAATATGATAATTTGTAATTAATACAAAAGAAAGGTATGAATTCATTTCTTTTAAAACAAAACTTTTGTCAAGATGAAGGAAGATGATCTACATGTAAAATGAATTCACGTTCCATTGTAATATCATTGACGATATATAACGTGGAACTAATGCATATAGATTGATGATTATTTGATCAAAGTAAATTGATAAGTTTCTATTTGTTTTTTTTAGATGTCTCATTCAAAAATTAGTCTTGATGAAATAGTTCGTTTTACATCACGAACAGCTGGTCGTGATAAAGTCTATCGAACAGTTCAATATGCATCACGCTTTCTTGCATGGTACTATATAAATAAACGACATGCCGGTAGTACTATACAACGTATTGAATTATTTCAAAATTTAGAGACAGTTATGAGTTTAACTCGAAAAGGTAAATGAATAATTTTATTAAAACTTTTTTGTTTTTAATATTTATTAATTTTAAAGGAATGCGACTTGGCCGTTTTATGGATTATATAAAAAGTGTTCTTGAAAGTTTTCATATACGAAATAAACGTATTGGTACATTATTTGGTTTAATTGCTGTTTGTCAAGGTTTATTTATGTTACTTGATAATCTTTTATTATTTCATCGTTTTAAAATAATTCATTTAACAAATCCACAACGTTTACAACATTATCTTTATCAAGTATGGCTTCTTTGGATATCATTTGCATTAACACGTGATTATTATGAAATGCAAGCATCATTTGCTATTGGACAACATCATCATTATCAACAAAAACAAGATAAATCATTGTTAAAACGTGTAAATATATTTTGGGCTAATAAACCATTAGTGATTGATACAATTAAAAATCTATGTGATCTTTATATACCATTATCAAATTTAAATATTGTCCATGCTAATCCTGGTTTACAAGGTTTTGTTGGAACAATTTCATCGATTTTGGGTTTATTACAATTATGGGATAAAAGTTATCAATTACCTGCATAAAAAGTACAATTCAGATGATTTTATTTTGCCTGTGATTTTCTTTGATTTGTATTCGTTCGATTTTTTTTTTCTAAAAAAAAATATACGCATAATTTGCTCTACATATATATATATACATATTCTTGAACTGTTTTTTAGATGGAACTTCCAGAAATTTCTTATAAAAAATCTGATTTTATTGAAACAACATCAGGTAGAAGAAAAAAAAATATTTAATTTGTTGTTTAAAAAATCATTATTGAAATATATTTAGGCAATAAAGTTTGTCGTCGTTCAATAATGTGTGGCTCACAGAATATTGTTCTTCAAGGTAAAACAATTGTTATGGCTGATTGTATTGTTCGTGGAGATTTAGCTGCCGTTAAAATTGGTAAAAATTGTGTTATTGGAGAAAAATGTGTTATTCGACCACCATTTAAAAAATTTGCTAAAGGTGTAGCTTTTTTTCCTATGCAAATAGGTGATCATGTTTTTATCGAAGATGAATGTGTTATTAATGCAGCATCAATTGGTTCCTATGTACACATTGGAAAAAATAGTGTTATTGGACGACGTTGTATAATTATGGATTGTTCATATATTTTACCAAATAGTGTAATTCCACCTGAAACAGTTATACCATCATATAGTAAGTTTATCGAAGATTTAATTGATGAATGATATGTATTAAATTGTTTTTTTTAATATTCTAGCGATTTATGGGGGATCACCAGCAGCTTATGTAGAAGATTTTCCTGAAACAGCAAAAGAATTAATGATTGATGTAACACAATCGTTTTATCAAAATTTTAAACCAATTGTTTGAAATATTTTGGTGTTTTGTTCAGATATGATTTATTTAATTGGTTTTTTTTGTTTTATATTAATCTTTATAACAGAAGGAGGGGATATGATGTATTATTTAATAAGCAAAACATCTTTTGGTGAATTGTATTTTATATTTCATGTTATTATTTTAAAAAAATAACAAATAAATATAAGAAAAACTGAAGTTTAAATAAATGCATTGACGAGGGAAGGGAAGGCTCCCACCATCTTGAGGGTGTGGGTGTATGATGTTTTTTTCCCATTCCTTGGCTAGATCAACACTCACACTTTCTTCACAATAACATCTTCTAATATTATCATCGAATATATTTTTGTTTTTCGTTGACGATTTCTATTTATTTTCTTCTTTCAAAGTTTTAATAATGCATAAAATCAAATATAAATCGTATTCGTCGAATAAACTCACTTTTGTAGTACTGGATTCAGGATTTGTGAAGATTTTATAATTTTTTCCGAGTGTTTAATTAGTTAATAATGAAGCAGTGCATATTACATTATTCTTTTTTCTGTTTTTATTATATATTTTATTTATGTAAACTAATTCAAGGACTCACTTATTTAGGGAAAATGCGGTCATGTTAAATTAGTAATAAAAAATTGGGAATTCTATAGTGATAATAAAGTTTACATGTATAAAATTGCTAATTAAATATCTATGATGTAGCGACTTGTGTACCATAATTATATTGCAATCGTCCACATTTGATACATACTTGTCGAGTAGCAAAATTCAATTTGGAACAGCTTCCACACAGCCAATCACCATATTTCACCGTGACAGACCTGGCAGATCCGTACAGAACCTTAAATGTGTGACATCTTTGACAGTTCGCACGGGAGCTGAAATTGATGTGATCACAGCGTCCACATTCCCAATCACCTGCTCGTCTAATTACAAACAATTATTAACGTATTAAAAAAAAGATATGAAATTAAACTTACATATGATAGACTCCTGTAGACATAATTGATTTGAATTATTCGTCTTCTTACAATATAATTTATCAATATATTTTCGAATGAAACACATTCTAGAAAAAAAAGTAAACAGTATATATATATTTAAAACTGAGTCATGAACGACTGATTGATATTAATATAGGCAAAATCCAACGAGAAAAAGGAACAGAATATGACGTCAACGAATACCGTGTACCTAACACAGTTTTTATCAGTGATGTAAGAAGAGAGGAAGTAGGGTTTTGTCACTATACCATGTGTACAGTTAGTGATAGTGTTTTCGGTTGACTGAATTTTCTCATGTGTTACAGATTTTGCCATGTTTGTGTAATTTGATGTTTAAGAAAAAAAATGTGAAGAAATGTGTCATTATATTTTTATTTCGTTGATTCT